CCTTCCTTCCTTCCTTCCTTCCTTTTCTTTCTTTCTCTCTTTCTTTTTCTCTCTTTCTTTCTTTCTTTCTTCCTTACAATAAATCATTTGTTCGATCCTTCATTTATTGATTGGTTCTGTAATTTCTATATTTCCAAATAACTCATTCATTAATTTGTGTAGGGCCTACATGTACAGATATTTATGTCTTGAATCATTCATTCCGAAAATGCATTCTTTGTAATTAACCAGGTTGGCCTCATCAGGGGTTAAAACACTGCTTTTTAAGATGGTCCAGCAAAACACCAAAACCACCTCTTTGAAAAAATGTTTATTCTATGAGAGGCTCACCTAGCTCAAAGCTAACGGCATCATGTGGGTTGGATGGGATGACAAAGCCGTACTCTAGGAGAAGATTAACATTGTCATGGGGACCATAATGAATGAAGACTTGGTCATAGGCATGGTAGCTGTCTAGGGTCTTGATCCGATAGCAATTAGATACAGGGTCGAATCCAGCAGTAACCTGGAGAGGAAAACAAAGAAACAATACCTTATCAGTGGATAGCTCTTACATCTTATCTTATTGCTAATCAGTCATTGATTATTGCATCATAATGTGATTATGCATTTCATACTCTACACAGACACTTGCTATCAGAGGTCTGAAAGCAATCAGGAAGAGCACATTTAATTAGGGTAAAAATTGCTTTCTCATTAATAATCTACCATCAGCTAGTCTGACTTACATTATCTTATTCAAGATAATGTTTTCTTTCTCTATATCTCTTTGGTCATTAAAATTGAAACTGTTCATAAATTACTTGCAGAATTCTCTCATTTCAAAAGAGTTCCATAGCCAAATGTTTAAAATTAACCATACTTTCCCACTTTGAATGTAAAATATATACAACAGTTTGTACAGAATTACAATATTAGGTTTCTGCAAAATATCAACAAACCTCAGCTCCTGGGGAATGGTTGAGCAAGTCCAGAAATGGAGCTAGTGCAAAGTCATCGCTTGCTTTAGGATCAAACGCCTCACAGCCACTAGGCTCCATGTAGACAGATCTGGAGTTGATGACAAACCAGGCCCAGACGAAGGAGTCAAAGCTGAAGACACTGCGGTACTGAGCAAAGGCTCTCTCAATGTCTTCAAACAGGCATGAAGCAGTCTCGAATGCAGCCCGAATGTCCTGCAGTTGGTTGATCGCTCTGCTCCGTACAATGGTGGGAAGCACATCGAAATTGGCTTGTTTAGTGGAGCCAAACGCTGGTGTTGTGAAGTCCTTTGGCAGGACATTGATGTATGGATACCAGAAAGAGGATTTGCCCTTTGACCTCTCAGTAATGAGGAAAGCACAAACCACTTGGTACGGTGTTGGTGTCTGCTGCTGCCTGCAAAGTTGGAGAGATTGAATTTGCCATGAAAATTTTGATAATTAAGTTCTTCACAATCAGTAGTAAAATTACCCATTTTGGTTAGCTTTCACTTGCCGTACTACATTAAAATAGTAATAGCGCCATCTATGACAAAGTTCTGAAGAACCTTGCAGCATGGCGAGCAAAAGCATACCAAAACGGGTATTTCTACAAATGATTGTATATTACATGAGCAATCAGATGAACCTCTTTAGTGAATTGCTATGAATGTTTTCTTGGTGATTTCTGGTTTGTTATTATGGCTATTTTTGCCATTGTTTATCTTTAATTAGTGGTATCAAGTAACAAGATTCAATATACAGGACCTACTTTAAATTTAAGAAAGAAAGATAATTTTTACTGAAGGAAACATTCAGTTTAGATTTTATTCTCTTGGGAGAGAGGGAGTGATGAACTGCCTATAGGGGCACTGATATGTTAACTTGGTGGCCAATCTTATAGCAATTATCAGTATCTACTTGTAGAATCTGTGACATAATAAATTACAAGTTTACAGGAGTTCTCATCTCTGCAGTACTAATGTAGATGTAAACAGCACTTTTTCATGCAACACCTACCGTCTGCTGTGACTGACAAAATCGGTAAATATCAACCAAAAAAATCCATACCTCTTTATAATTGGTCCTAATTCAGTGTTCAAGATGTCTTTGGCCGTCACAAGCAGATGACGGGGAATCTCAACTATGGAGTCACCAGGCTATAAGAGGAAACAAGTATAAACAACATTTACACTGCAGCACAAGGTCTGATATGGCCCTCATACATGTATTGCAGTCATACACTGATATGAAACATTAAGAAAAGAACAATCTTTCTTAAAATCTACCTCTTAAGAGCTATAATGTATGAAGTCATCATTTGTTATGGTGTAATTAGAATTCATATTAATATTGCATACCAATGTTTGCTATCTTGTGCAATCTCATGGCAATATTTTGGGAAGAGCATGCAGAGCTACCAAGTATCACGCATTAGGCGTGACATCATGCATTTCGAGGGTCTGAAAATGCTCTTACGCACGTCGCGCGCTAGATTTTGAAAAACGCTATACCTTATACGTGTGTTATACCCTCGCACGCGCGCTTGCACGCTGAATCATGGAAATGTCACGCATTGCCAATCTTTGAACTTGGCGTCTCTGGAGCATGAAACAAGAGAATTTGGAGGGGGTCTACACTGCAGCATGCTGTACAATGTTTCTTTATATCAGCCACTCAAAGAGCTACTACATGTGTGTATGAAGTCATCTTTACTTTTGCTATCCTGTGCAATCTCATGGCAAGATTTGGGGAACAGCATGAAACAAGAGCATTCATAAGGGGTTTATCATTAGAGGTGGACATAGTCTTTTGCTTTCATATTCAAAGACATACATGTTCAACTTCTTACCCTCAAGTTCTTTTTTGTCATCAGGCCTCGTCCGGTATCTGTATAGGTAGGGAGAAATGGTTTGTACATTGGTATTGCTCTCTAGAAGAAGCTTGCAAGGGTAGCACTGGATTAATTTCCGAAATTACACTGTACCTTAATTTTTGAGTAATGATACTGGAGGATCTATCTGAACAAGTTTTACTGACATGCACACCCCCCCCCCCCCTAAATATTAACCTTTTTTGATAACAGAGGCCCAATTTATGTAGATCACATCATATAATCAAATCCTCAAAATGGTAATGTGGAGCCCAGTATTTCTTTGAAGAAGAATAGACCTTATGTAGAAGCGTTAGAACGTAAGGTGATATCTAGTTCAAAACCATCTGAATTATGTGTTACAACTGTGCTTACCAGAAAAGACGGCAGGTTTCAGACAACAACCCTTGCAGTTAAATCCATGTTCTTTCATCCACTTCATCAGTGTTATGTACTGCTCGTCATGGTCGACTGGTACTAATAAAGATGATATAGAAATAAAAGAGGATGGAGAAAGAAGATGACAGAGAAAAGAGATAATGGGGAAATGAGACAGGGAAAGAAGATGGGAAAAGGAGGTGACAGAGAAAAAAGGTGATGGGGAAAGTATATAGTGGAGGAAAAAGATGGGAAAGGCGATAATAGAAAAAAAAAAGAGATGATAGTTAAAGAAGACGTACATGTAGGAGAGAGATGACAATGGAAAAAATGCTTGATGGAAAAAGAAGATGATGGGGAAATAAGATGATAAAAGAAGATGAAAGAAGATGACAGAGAAAGAAGATGACAGAAAGAAGATGGTGGATAAAGATAACCAAGGGAGAAACAAGATGGGGAAAGAAAGAAGATGATGGGGAAAAGATGTGATGGAGATAGAAGATGATTGATAGGGAAAGGAGATGATGGAGGAAAGAGATGATGGATAAAGATTATCAACAGAAAAAGAAGATGGGGGATAGATGACAGAGAAAGAAGATGATGGGAAAAAGATGTGATGGAGAAAGAAGATGGTTGATAGGGAAAGGAGATAATGGAGAAAGATGAAAGAGAAAGAAGATGGGGAAAGAATGTGATGGAGAAAGTAGATGATTGATACAAATGATAGGGAAAGGAGATGATGGATAGGGAAAGGTGATGGAAAAAGAAGAATGGGAAAGGAGATGATGGAGAAAAGAGAGTTATACATATAGGGCCTATAATAATTCTGTGTCAACTTTCATAATTCAATACATAAACGACTATATATTTTTGTACAATGATCTGCCAAGCCTGATTTGGGGTATTTTGACACATTTGGCCATGGCCAGGCAAAGCCTATTCTTGAAGTTAGGAATTTTAATCAATGCCAATCGAAACTGAGAGAACATCAATAGATCTATAGTGTTAGACCTATATTTACGGATTACCGATTATTAATATTACTTAGTCTATCATAATCATAGAATCAACATTTGTTATTTAGTAGGTCCAGCAGATCTGCGCAGAGTCAACTCAGGTCAGACTTAGAAATCTAGAGATAAGATGATAATTAACTTGTTTAATAATCATTATCAATTTCATAGATCTAGATCTAGATGGTTACTGTACGGTATTTCTTGTCCTGTGCAGTTTGTTGTCTTGGTCTTCAACAATGAAGGATGCACTTTTCCCGAAGAAGAAGTGGAGGCACTGATGTTTAGAAAGAGTGACAAGTGCAGTGTCATGATAAATTGACATGTCAATGAAGCGCCTATTAAAGCTGCCATGCGTCCCGGCCCAGCCGAGCTGAGCCTAATTCAGCGGTCAGCTGGGCCAGACGGTCGGCGAGCGTTGACTGTCACGAGTACCCTCTGTCTGCAAATATTCACGTACACGTCGCACACGCTCTCAGCTCACAGCTGATAACAAGTACTTAACAAGTGCTAAGACTAGCTTTTTCACTATCATAAACTTCAAATGTAACTATAGATTTCGAATGAATCTTAAAAAGAGCTTTGCTTACTCGGTTTGTTGAATAATTTGATATTTTTCCTTCGTCGACACTGCCGTCTTGATTCAATCATTGTGCAGAATGTGACGTCATATGTGCTTTCATGAATATTCATTAACTGCCCGCCACGCTTCGAATTTCAAAACAAGGGACGAAGATGAATGTCTTGAAAGATTCCGAAGATGATACCAACGTTCGCAGTGAAGAATTGCCTGTTGTATTCCAATGTCAGAGCTGTAAATCAATTTTGAGTGATTCCTTGGCTTTTCTAATCGCGAATGACGATATGAAAACCATCACCGTGAATCGTGAGTATTAATGCATTGCCCCACGTGCAGACATCTGTGTGACTCAGCTCCGCTGCGCGCTGCATGCTACACTACATCTGCATTGACTTCACATGCACACACCAGCGCCAGCAGAGCCAAAGCTTCAAACTCAAAGCCAAGGCTAGGCATTAAGGCCTAGGCTAAAATTAAGCCTAAGTCACTACGCATTAGCATTGACTCTCTATAGAGTACCGAAGCTCTGACGTCAAAAAATCTATTTTTAGATATTTTTTTCTTCCTTTTCTGAAAGAGCATCAAAATTAAAAAATAATGTCCAAATGAAATGTCGAAAACCAATTGAAAAGGTCTAAAGTTAGAATCTAGATCTACAAAGTTTTGGGAAATTTAGAAAATTGGGTGGATAGTGATTCTTTCCCATTTTGATATATTTGGTTGGCCCTGTGGATGTATTTATAAACACTTACAAATTAGCCCCTGTACACTCGGCACTTGACAAACACAAGGTACGATAATACGCCAACGGCGGACTGTACTATACTGGAAGAAGAAGAAGAAGAAGAAGAAAACACTTCTGCTTTCGAGAAAAATTGAATATAACAATTTACTGGTGCTCCCGGTAAATCTAAATAAATGTTGATTAATTTCAAATAGTGCCTACGGCAGTCTGATGTTGGCTGCAACCATGAAAATCTCAGAATATGTAGTTTTGATATATAATTTCCAAGCGGGAATAGCTTATCGGTCAATTTTAGTCAAGAAGCATTGTGTTATACTTAATATCTTAACCTTGAGAGGGAGCCACAATGCCACATAGACCCTACAGAGTTTTAAATTTACAATTTCAAAACTTTAGACTCGTTTTCAACCGCGACAATGATCACTTAATATTGCAGGATTGCATTCGCTTCCAATATGTTCATTTGAACCAAATTCATGACCCCATACCAAAACTTTGTATTACCTTTAAAGGCATCGTTTAACAATGTTAAATCTGAGATGCATGGCCCTACATGTGCGTGTTCTCAGTGTCTGTCGTATAGTGTAATATTAAAGCTAAAAAAAAATTGCTCTTCAAAATGACCAAGAAGTGCCTCAAAAGTAAAAATCTTTAAAAGTAAAAGACCTAGACTATTTATTTATTCAATTAATCATAATGATTTGTTGGTATATTATATGTCATCATATGTTTTGTTTTTAATTACAGGGTAAATATCATTTCTCATTTATTATATTTTATTTTGCCTACTTAATCCTTGCTAAATGGAGATGATTTACTAGAGTAAAGGAGGGAGTTTTCCGCCACTTCAGCACTTCTCGTTTTCTATATTCGCTACTTCGCTCGTGCTTGAAGAGAAATTCACAGGTACTGCATAGCAATAGCCCCAGGTACCAAAGCTGCAAAGATTTGGTGTTCACACGTAAGTACATCTGCTCCTAATTTTCCTTTAAAACTTGACATATTCTATTGGACGTCGAGTCCAATTTATAGCTTTCTTACGTGTGCAGCTATAAAGACGATAGGAACTTAAATATCTAGACCTCGCTTATTCTTTAATTCATTGTATTTACGGTAAAATCTCTCGTAAACTGGAGCTCTTGGGCTACAGTCCTCTGTCTATTGCAACCATTTTGCAACTGAAGCCTAAATTTGTGTGTGCGAGCTATTGAAATTCCAGCTTGTTACAAGTGGGCAGCAGCTGGAGTTTTCGGCCACGCAACGTAAGATGCCAAATTCGCACAACTGACTCACTGCTAAGACGCAAATTAAGATGAGGAGAGCAAAGACAAATGAGATGGTGTAAAGAAAATTGATTTTTGCTTTAAATAAAAAATAATATGAAATTTGAAACGATAAAAAGAATAAATTATAAATAAATAGTCTAGATCTAGGGTCTAAAATGAAGATGATAATGAGGAAAAAGATGACAGCAGTGATGAAGATGACGATGACAATGAAAAAAGGTGATGATGATAATGAAAGAAGGGATGACATTAGGAAAAAGATTGAAAAGTTCACACAGAAATTTTACTTTGAATACTCTGATAACATACTTTTGTATGCTTTTATCGGACTCTAGATAAAATTAAATTTATCCTCTTCTTCTTTTCTTTTTTTAGAACAAGAGAGATGGCTCCAGTGAGAGGAAGTTACAGACGTGGGTATGACCAGAAGGCTATGGAAAATGCCATACAAAGAGTCAAGTTGGGGGAAGTTTCCACAAGGGAAGCTTCTCGACTCTATAAAGTTCCCAGAGCCACCCTTATGGATAAGGTACATTAGATAAAATAAAGCCATGCAGTTGATTTGATCACTTACCAAAAATATACATTTAAACGAAGATATGCAAAAAGAAACAATTAAGGCGATTTTAAAAAAAAGAATTTATTCTATATACATATACGTCTTTCCTTAGGTTACCATTGGAGTTAAAATAAGAATATCAGAGTGACAGTGCTTGATAGATGATTGTATAAATGGTTTCACTAAAGTTCTTTTCCGTTTGAATTAATCTTCTAATGGTGACTATATGGAGGTGAGCCTTTTTTCCAGAGCTTTGTAGCAGTGTTATATTGATTATATATTATTCTATCACCATGATCAAGCGGAACCTTAAGCGGAGGCAAATTGAAATCAAGACTTGGACAATTGCTGCAGGCCAGCGAGCTGTATGGAGAACAGCTGTAAATTGAAAATGAAGGCAGTCATTGTCGCTTCGCGACAGACGGCTACTACTACCACCACGACTAATGTCTTTTTGTTTATATTTTCTTTTTAGTTGGCCAATAGGGTTCCGCTTAATTGCCGTAGTGGACCAAGCCCTAAGCTTCCTATAGCTGATGAAGCGAATTGCGCTAAACGGGTCATTAGAACAAGAGCGATGGCTCCAGTGAGAGGAAGTTACAGACGTGGGTATGACCAGGAGGTTATGGAAAATGCTGTACAAAGAGTCAAGTTAGGGGAGATTTCCATGAGGGAAGCTTCTCGACTCTATAAAGTTCCCAGAGCCACCCTCATGGATAAGGTACATTAAATTAAATAAAGCCATGCAGTTGATTTGATCGTTTATCCAAAATATTTATTTTTAAATGAAGATATGCAGAAAAAAACAATTAAGGCGATTATCAAAAAAAAAATTGTTCTCTATATACGTCTTTTGTAAGATTGACAATAGAGGTCTCAAATGAATTTTTAATAATATATAATTAATAAACATTATTATCATTATCAATTTTATAGCAATACTGTATATGACGTTTATCCCTAGGTTACGTACCATTGGAGTTAGAATAAGAATATCAGAGTGACATTGCTTGATAGATAATTGTATTAATGGTTTCACTAAATTTCTTCTGTTTTAATTGATCTTCTAATGGTGACAAAATGGAGGGGGCCTTTTGTTCCAGAGCTTTGTAGCAGTGTTATACTGATTATATGTTATTCTACCACCACAGCTAATGTATTTTTGTTTTTATTTTCCTTTTAGTTGGCCAATAGGGTTCCGCTTAATTGCCGTAGTGGACCGAGCCCTAAGCTCCCTTTAGCTGAGAAAGGGAACAGCGCTGAACAAGGGAAAAAAAGAAAAAAAACAATTAAGGTGATTGTCAAAAAAAAAAAAATTCTATATACGTCTTTTGTAAGATTGGCAATAGAGGTCTACGTATGAATTTTAATAATATATAATTAATAAACATTATTATCATTATCAATTTTATTGCAATATTATAAGATGATAACATAGATCCTAATCAAATGATTGGCTGAAAGCGTACACGTGACCAGGCATTTATTTTGCCTAACGGGTAACCGCGCGTAATTTGGGTAATGACCGGTCATTATCAAAATCATGTTAGAAAACATCATTTTATAAAACAAATGAAACATACATCTTATAAAACAAATAATACACATCATTTTGTTTAGGCATTAGTAAATTTACCCACACTTGGTACCTTCTAAACAGTCCAAACGTTAGAGTGTTCCAAGGGTACCTTGTGTGGGTAATTCTTACTAATGCCCTCACTGATGTTTATTATATGTATACTGTATACCTGTATGATGTTTATCCCTAGGTTACTATTGGAGTTAAAATAAGAATATCAGAGTGACAGTGCTTGATAGGTGATTGTATTAATGGTTTCACGAAAGCTGTTCTCTGTTTAAATTGATCTTCTAATGGTGACAATATATATTCATTTAATTGTATTTTGTTTTTGAATGTAATGTTTGTTTGTATAATTACTTGTTTAAATTTATTTGTGAAATATGGAAATAAATTGTAATCAAATCAAATCATATGGAGGGGGCCTTTTGTTCCAGAGCTTTGTAGCTGTATTATATTGATTATATGTTATTCTACCACAACTAATGTCTTTTTGTTTATATTTCTTTTTAGATGGCCAATAGGGTTCCGCTTAATTGCCGTAGTGGACCGAGCCCTAAGCTCCCTATAGCTGAGGAAGCAAATTGCGCTGAACAGGTCATTAGAACAAGAGAGATGGCTCCGAGCCCTGATCTCCCTATAGCTGAGGAAGTGAATTGCGCTGAACAGGTCATTAGAACAGGAGCGATGGCTCCATTGAGAGGAAGTTACAGACGTGGGTATGACCAGGAGGCTATGGTCAATGCTGTACAAAGAGTTTCGTTGGGGGAGATTTCCGTGAGGGAAGCTTCTCGACTCTATAAAGTTCCCAGAGCCACCCTTATGGATAAGGTATATTAGATAAAATAAAGCCATGCTGTTGATTTGATCACTTACCAAAAATATATGTTTAAATGAAGATATGCTAAAAAAAATTAAATTAAGGCGATTATCAAAAAAGAAATTGTTCTATATATATACGTCTTTTGTAAGATCGGCAATAGAGGTAAACGTATGAATTTTAATAACATATAATTAATAAACATTATTATCATTATCAATTTTATAGCAATACTGTAGTATTGTAGCTGTGTAGCTGTATTATATTGATTATATGTTATTCTACCACAACTAATGTCTTTTTGTTTATATTTCTTTTTAGTTGTCCTATAGGGTTCCGCTTAATTGCCGTAGTGGACCACGCCCTTATCTCACTATGGATGAGGAAGCGAACATCGCTGAATGGGTCATTAGGATGGCGAAAATCGGGTACGGACAAACCCTAAGCGATCTCAAACAGGTATAACAACATTTCTTTTAATTGAATAATTGTTAATTTACCCGAGCAATTTACCTCAGTTATTAAACAGCTCTCCCAGCCGGCTCTTTATGAAATTTATTACCCTTCTCCATTCTCTGAGTGCCTGGCTACATTACGAAAAGCTCTCGTTAAAACTATACCCCACCACTATAACACAGGAACCAATGTAAACCGGGTGGGGTATAGCTACCCCAATTTCGTTTCTCTCGTTAAAACTTTGACAGAGCCAATAATACCCCACCACTATAACACATGAACCAATGTAAACCAGGTGGGGTATAGCTACCCCAATTTCGTTTCTCTCGTTAAAACTTTGACAGAGCCAATAATACCCCACCACTATAACACATGAACCAATGTAAACCAGGTGGGGTATAGCTACCCCAATTTCGTTTCTCTCGTTAAAACTTTGACAGAGCCAATAATACCCCACCACTATAACACAGGAACCAATGTAAACCAGGTGGGGTATAGCTACCCCAATTTTGATTCTCTCATTAAAACTTGGACAGAGCCTTGCAGCTCTGAGTGAGAGATGACAGCTGTACTCGTCATCATCTTATGTAATAGTGTAAACTAACTCTTACTGGGGCTCTGCCTGAAACGAAATAAGAAGTAGGAAATATATATTTTACTTGTTTTAAGATTTTTTCATGTCCAAAAGTCACTTATAATTTAGATGAAGACCATAATGAAAGTTCAAACGAAGCAAAATGACCCAGAATTGGCAATAAAACAACAATTTTAATTGTGAAAATTAGCACTCTTTCTCCCTTCCTCTCTCCCTCTATCATGCTTACATGTATCTCTCCCTCCCTCTCTATCACCTCGCCAAGGTCTCGGCAGGGGGATCACATTGTTTAGCGCTAGTGTTTATTTTAGGCTTAGCTCTAGGGTAGTGAAAGTCAAATGGGGGTTTCAATTTTAAACGACAAGTTTTTGTCATGAAAAGGCAGAAGGTCCCATTTTGTTTTTACATTTTTTTTCCTTTTAATGCTGGTGATTTTACTTACTTTACTCTACTTTGGTGTTGAGGCTTGAAGCTTCAGCTTATGTGCCCCTCTTTACTGCATTGGTTTTGTGTTGGTATGGGCAGTATTTCATATGATAGCTGATTTTTTTTTTTTTTTTTTTTTTTTTAAATATATATGTATACCGGTATATACTTTTTAGCAATTTCTAGCAATCACTTCACACAAGGCTTTTCAACATCATTATAAAACTAGAAATTTAATTCGTCATGGGGACGATGTAGGTGGTCTGTTTTCAATTTTATGATCATTGAAAAGTCAAAAAAGAAAAAAAAGTGAAGAAAAAAAATTGTTGGAGACTCCCGGACTCGAACCAGGGACCTTGAGGTCGGAAGTCAAGTGCGTTACCGATATACCAAAACATTTCCCATAGAGATTACACGTAAACGGAAAATAGAATTCACAAATCCCACTTTGTAAGTGAAATATGAGCATGATCCCGGCATCTAATCGAAAAATAAAGGGCACACTTGTGATAGCTTATTCTCTCAGCTACATCATACTCAAAGCTCATTGTAAACGAACATAAAACGACGGAGATATTGCTCGCGAAAAACGAGAATGTAGAATCCCGTTTTGAGAAAAAGTCATGTCCCATAGAGAATGCACGCAAAATGTGAAAAATTGACATGCTTCCTTTAATCGCAAAAATACGCCATGATGCTTTCGTCAAAATGAAAATTTGTGACAACTGCATTTGTAGAGAATTGTCTCAGCTAAAACATATCAAAATTTAGAAGAAAATTGATCAATATTTACAGAGATACAATCAATTTTCCAAAAATCTGCTGACGTCATAATATGCAAATTGAAATTTTGAGTTCGGAGGCCATTATGATGACGTCATGAGTTAATTGAGGGTCAAATGAGACATGAAATCATATCTCCAACTCATACTTTTTGCAACTATGATATATAAAAATTGGAAGTCAATTGACTATGTGAAGAGCTATTTCGATTTTTAAAATGGCATGTATTTGATCAAATTTGCATTATATTTCCCATAGCAGCACGTGCGGATTTTGAACTTTGACGCGCGCTCACGGCCTTATGAAAGGTCAAGAGTAACTGAAATTATTGTAAATTGTCATTTACGGTAAGAGGAATCTAAATCATGTAAAAAAATTGAATTTGACCTCTTCCGCGTGCCGTGAGCGCGCGCAACGCGTGCGGGGACACGTACGGACGGAAAATTTTGAAATGCTTAAAATGACCTGATTCGTACTCTCGTTTAATAGTTAAGTGATTTTTAGCATTTTAAAATTTTGACGCACGCGTACGTGCGCGTCATGACCTTTATGTGACCTTTGATGACATGACTTGTTGACCCTTGACCTGAAGTATATATGATATTAATATGAATGACCTTTGATAATGCATCATGAAGATATGATGGATAATGTGATTCCACAAAATGGCGCCTGGATGACGTCACGATGACTTGATGACCTTGAAAATGTTTCTGTCACGTCTCATGACAATGACCTATCACTGTGTCAAAATTGAAAGAAATTAACACAACCAATCATGAGTTATCCTATGAACAAAAAAGTGTAGGAAATAAATAAAAATAAATAATAATAAATAATAAAGAAAGAAAATTCTGACGAAAACAATAGGTGATCTGTTTTCAACAGACCACCTAATGAAATAAGTAGAAAAAATAGCTTCCTTTACCATGAATTAATGTGGCGTCCAAAGAGTGAATAGACTAGTCCAATCTGATTACTCCTTCTTACTCTTAAAAGAGGATTAGACTGTAATATATTACCTGAAACATTAAGTGACTCAGCAATTCTCTTAAATAATACCCTGACCGAATAACAATTATGTAAGAAAGAGTATTTTACCTTGTTATCCTTCATTTCCCTATTTTTTCCCCTCTTTTCAGACAGTGAAAAAGATCCTAGATGATGACGGGAGACCCACGCCCTTCAAGGATAATCTTCCAGGGAAGAAATGGATGAAAGAATTCCAGCATCGCCATCCAGAGCTGGTGATGAGAACCCCCCAACTGCTGGGAAAAGAGAGAGCTGTGCTGTCGGTCGAGGTAATCTCAAGATGGTACAACCAACTTGAGGACTTTCTGACCTGTGAAAATGCTGCCAGCATTCTGACGGAGCCGGGAAGAATGTTTAATTGCGACGAGTCCCGTTTTGTTTTGGGTGAGGGGAGAAATCAGAACATCCTTGCGAAGAAAGGTGAGCATGATGTAACCTCAGTTGGCAACAGCGACAAGAGGCAAATAACAGTCCTTGCCAACATGTCATCAGATGGCACCTACCTTCCCCCCTTGATCGTATTCCCCGGTGTTAGACTCAGCCCAGTGGTCGCTGAAGGAGCCCCCGAAGGCTCATACATAGGAGGCTCCCCCATTGGCCGGATGAACAGCGAGGTTTTCTTTTGCTATATCTCCAATTGTTTTATACCATTCGTCAAACAGAAGGGGGTTAATTTCCCAGTTCTACTTCTTGTCGACGGTGACAGGAGTCATCTGTCTTTCGAGTTGAATGAACTCTGCAAGGTAAACAAGGTAATACTTTACTGTTTGCCACCAAATGCTTCTCACATGATTCAGCCTTGCAGTTTGAGTCTCTTCTCGTCACTGAAGGAGAAGTGGGCGGCCACTGAGAGCAAGTACAGGATGGAGAATGAGGGTGCTCCTGTCAGCAAAGTTATGTTTGCGCGAGAGTTTGCCAAGGCATGGACGGAGATAACCTGCGACCCCATGGTTGCACGGAATGGATTCCGTGCAGCTGGGTTATTTCCCTTCACAAAGACATGCATGGGGGACAAACTTCTACCAGCGACAGTCTTTGTCAGGACTCCAGCAACACAAGATAAGCCTGCGAAAGCTGCCGAGGGGCAAGCGCCAGATGCACCACCTGCACCACCTGCTCAGCCAGATGCGCCACCTGATACATCAACAGATGCAGGGGGAAAGTCCTTTGTCAGCCCTTCCCTCAAACACCATCTCCGCTTCCGTCCTATCACCGTCCCTCCAAAGAAGCGGGAAACGTTGAAAACAAAGAGGCAGAAGAAAGAAGAAGAAGAAAAGAACAAGATCAAAAGAAAAGAAGAAAGAAAAACAAAAACAACAGAGAAGGAAGAAGCGAAAAAGAAGAAGAAGAAGAAGAAGACAGTTCGTAGTGCCGACAGAGAGGAAGCAATAGACGAGGTCTACACATGTGGAGATTGCGGAGGTGAATACTTTAATGAAGATGATGATGACTGGGTCGAGTGTGACGCCTGCCATCAACGGTATCATGTCGTCTTTACTGCTCTTGCCAATCTGACAAATGCAGAAATCACTAAGATCCATTTTAGATGTTACAACTGTTGAAGATGAAGAGTTTAAATGCAAGAACAGATTAACGCAATTTTTTAACAACAAAAATAAATAAAATTCATAATAGAGTCTAGTTCTTTTTTTAATGATAGGGCCTATAATGCTCATTTATGAAATATGTGAGCTTCTTCACTAAAGGTACTATGTCCCATTTGCAGGCCCCAAAAAATGAAAAGGTTAAATTCCAATGGCATTTGAAAGATATTACTAATTTAGAACTTGAAGGTATATAGTAGAAGTTATGGTTAAAATTACACACAATTTCTCATTATTGTTTTTCATTTTCTTGACCTTTAAGTGCAAATATCTACATTTAAATTTGACGAAAATGGATATCTCTGTTTTGGCATTCAAACTCTCCAGATATAAATGAGTTTAACTTTTAGTCTTTTTATTTAATTTCTTTATGTTTCATGAAAATTTGTATTTGCAAGAGTAGTACAGACAACATGATACCATTGATCGCAATGTACAGTGTACATGTAGTACTTGTATTCATTTATTTCAAATCGCCAATATGAGCTTCTTCACTGAAGGTACTATGTCCCATTTGCAGGCCCCAAAAAATGAAAAGGTTAAATTCCAATGGCATTTGAAAGATATTACTAATTTAGAACTTCCCTTAAAAAAAGGGGGGGGCTTGAAAATGTCTTTAAGTGGAAAAAAAAACGACTATTAGTTGTCGAATCGACTTAAGTCATAGGTAATAGTCTGATTTTCAACTATTGTACCGAATGGTTGTTTAATCAGATTAATTTTGGCCATTACAAGAAGTGGGTTATTGATGTAGACAAATGCTCATGTACCCTTTACAGCTCATTTTATGTACATGTATGTTATTACCAAAGAAGAATAAAAGCCAGTCAGTCACTCAATAGTGTCTGACAGTGAAGTCTAGCAAGTAAAAGGGTTTCCTTGCATAATTTGATTATTAGGACACTGCTAACGTTTAAATTTCACAGATAGGACATACATGTACATGACATATTTATAATTCCTGCAAAGTTCTACAGAATTTGATGTTGGCTGCAAAAGGAACATAGTATCTTTAAAGGTAAAGACCAGTATTGGAAACGCCCCAATTTCGAAAAAAAGAAATGGAAGCTCTTATTACCAATCATGTGAAAGAATATGTTTTGACTAATACATGATGATTAAAATTTTGCCTGGAAACCGCCTACTGCTTGATATATTTGGTAAATTAGTTTATCTACATGGTCTGTGAGAGATAAACGCATGTGTCGCGCACGTGTGCGTATAGTCCCATATACATCTTTCTGTGTACAGTGCTCGTAACTTTACGAAGACTGGGCCAAATTTCTTATCATTTTGATGATTCCAGAACCTTGCAGTACACACCAATACTTATATGCTAGATGATCAACCTTTTCTGATCGATTCCACAACGTTTCTTTCACAATGCAATCGCATGACCATAACTGGTCTTTACCTTTAAGATGAAATTTATTTATTAAATAACTTGATTCCATTTGTTACTTACCTATCTTTAATGATATACTTACAGGAGGAGGAATGTCTATTTTTAATTCTGTAATTGAATAAACAAAATTATGTCATGAATGAGGAAATCAAATTTATCCTATTCATTTCAAGATTGATTTTGATTTTCATGAAATCATTTGTTTGTGTTTTTTGACAGAATTACTGTAATCTTTAAGAAATGAGGAGAATGACACTTAGTGTTCCATGAAACTATGTTTTAAGTGAAACTAGGTTTCAATAGCATGACTTTATGATTTTATGAATATATTATTGGAGGCATTAGGACTATTTTTTTTCTTTTTCCTCCAGGAGTAAACTCTTCTGCTGAGATATCAGCAAAACTTATCACATCAACGCATGGTGTAGACCAAGGAAGGTGAGCAAGGTTCTACCGTATTTAATTTAACATTTTTAAAGTTTGTTATAAAATGGTTGGATTGGTGTGCATCTAGTAACACAAAAATGGGGGGGGGAATAGTTATTAAGAAAAACAAATATATAATTACTCATTTGTCATCTGGAAATATGTGCAATTGATCATGTATACAGCAGGCCTGATAATTACCATACATGATTTAAATCTGTTTCCTGATTTTATTTTATTTTTTTCCTAATTTTTATATATTTTATTTTTCTTCCCGATTTTCTTACTCAAAAGGGGGGAATGTTGTTAGATGCCATTTTTTCCCCCCAAATCCTTTTTCTTTTTTTAAATCAATGGGGGGCGTGGATGAAGGGGGGGGGGGAAACTTTTTTTTTTTTTTTTTTTTAGTGCTCACTATCAGCCCTGAAACAGGTGAAAAGAGAAAACAAGTTCAAATTTTTGAGCACTGAATTCTGTAGTCCTATTGGCTAAATAAAGGGACTATCCTCTCTGATCCTTGAGGTAGAAATTAGATAAGAGCTATGATACCATAGAGTACTGAAGCTGTGACATAAAAATCTATTTTTAGAATTTCTCAATTTTTTCTTCATTTTCCAAAAGAGGATCAAAAATATTGTCCGAAGGTCGAAAACCAATTGAATATGTTAAGTATTGGCTGAGATACCATCTGAATAGATATATGTCCTATGGGAACTTAGTGTAATAGTGCTCTGGTTCTTAAATGAAGAAAAAATTGAGAAATTCTGAAAAAATAGATTTTAGATGACATCACATTTCACCACTCCATTGTCTTCATTTCTTTCAGTACGTACAGCCCAGTTGAATGCCACGACTGCCATGCTATGGTGGGCAAGGTCTACAGAACTACGCCAAGGCTTCTGGATGATCTTAGAGACAACTACACCTTAGATGCAAACAAACTTTCAATGTAAGTTATTGATGTGTGTAAAGGTTCTGAAATATAAGTTTTGTGTTGCATACTACCTCTAGTCTTAAAGATAAAGTTGAGTTCTGGTCATGCAATTGCTTTGTGAAAGAAACAGTGTGGAATCGATCAGAAAAGGTTGATCATCATCATTGGTGTTTACTGCAAGATTCTGGAATCATCTAAATGATAAGAATTTTGGCCCAGTCTCGGTAAAGTTACAATCACTGTTCACAGAAATATGTATACGGGACTACACAAACATGTGACATCAAAATCCGTCCCGATGTTTATGCTGTTACATGCCATATTTATGATTTTAAGACATTTGAAGAGCCATGCTTTTCAGGGAACATTTTCAATCTGATGTTTTTCCACACTTGCATTATAACAATGATAACGCACACAAATTATTTTCCACCTTTTCCTGGAACTCAACTTCCTCTTTAAGTTGTTCAACATATTATTCATCTGAGCAAACTCACTTACGAACAGGCTTTTAGCAAGGATTTCAAATTGGCTGTCCAAATGTAAAAGTAGGGTGTTCAAAAAATGTTGTTTTTCATTAAAAAGTGTTGATAAAAGAAAAAATGTGGGGCGTCTTCTACAATAAATGGGCATCTTTTTGATGTGCAGCCACCATTTAGTTTGAATTAATACAATATTTATTGTTAAGGGCCTCGCTTATAAAGAGTTACGATTGATCCAAATCAATTGCAAGTTTGCAGTGTCCTATCTCTTATGTACATAGTTGCGATTGATATCAATCGCAAATAAGTTGTGATTGATATCAACTCTTTATAAGACGGGCCCAGAACAGTTTGCTGATTGATTGTGGGTGAAATGATGTTGAGAGTATTCTAAAGCAATTAAGATGCTGCCCTGTACTTGTAATAACCCTTGTTAAGTCTTTGTTCTACTGGCTTAGTCCAGAATGCCAGCTTTCAGGCTTATGCTTAATCTTACTAATATTGACCCGAAAGTTCACGAAAGCTTTGTGCACAAGAAAATTTCTGGTTTCACAGTAACCCTGCAGTTGGCACGAATACATCTGCTCAGACAGTATTTTATCCCTATTTTCCTGATTTTTCCCTTATTTTCTCTATTTTTCCCTATTTTCTTCCAATGTTCTTCCAATTTTCTTCCAATTTTCCTACTCAAAAGGGGGGAATGCTGTTTGATGCCATTTTTCCCCCAAAAAAAAATGTTTTTCTTTTAGTGCTCACTATCATCCCTGAGTATGGCTGTGTAGCCTCAAAGTAACACTTTTGCTGTTTTTGCAGCTATCAAATTGGATCCGCCACTACCACCGTATCCCCAGCAGACGATGCTGCAAGTTCTCTCCTAAACATGACCGATCTAAAGACTCTAAAGGAAACAATGCTGAAGGTAGGTGCAAAAAAAGAGATTATGACCTTGATATTCAAGAAGATACACTATGACATTATGACCTTGACATTATGACCTTGATATTCAAGAAGATACACTATGAATATGACGGACAAAGAAAGCGGACAAAATATACAGTTCCTCATTCTACCCTCAACAATTGCTATTATGTCAAAATCTGTAGAACAGGTGTCACATGCATATTCACCTGTTTTACACATTTTTACATAACAGTAGAGAAGGGATTCTCCTTTGTCTACCATATCAATTGTTGAGGGTAGAATGAGGAACTGTATATTTTGTCCGCTTTCTTTGTCCGTCATGTTCATAGTGATATCTTTGAGAATTACAGTTTCTATTGGACAGCTTTAGTAGAAAGAAAAGAACTGGTATGGGCATGGAAAAAAATCAGTAGTCAGTTGGTTATAATGCTTGAAAAAGCATGTAATTTTTTTCTAAACAACAAACAAACAATAAAAAAACATTGCTATATGTTTTCTGACTGCAATTCACAATGCCTTATTTGTACAAATGCTAATTCCCTACACCTGTATAAACTGTTTTGTGAGACATTTAATAATAATAATAATATTTAGCTTTTGTATAGTGCTTAATACAAATGTCTCTAAGCGCTTTACAAATATACTATTACCCCGGTCATTGGATTCAGTGCTTGCCCGCACACATTGTGTGCACAAGCTACAATTTTCAATGTATACTGTTTTTGTTCATTGTGTTGTTAAACTTTTTTAATCAATATGTATGATCTATAATAACCCCCAAGGAGCTCATACTGTAGTTTTATTTTTGATTAGGTTAGTAAAAGTAAATCATAGCAAAATAAATACACAGAGCTATAATACTTTTAAATCGAATTGCCTTTATTGAAATTGTTCTCACAGCTGCAGGTTTTAATGTGCACTATGCATCAGAGGATAGCAAACATCGAGCAATCTCTCGAGATTGAGGAAATCGACCCAGTCGGACCAACCCAAGACTTCATACCGCAGGTTCTCAGTCCAATTTCCAAACAGAAGCAAAGCAACGGCAACAAGGACATGGGCAGAGTTTCCCAAAATACCAGCATGCAGTTGGGATCAAACATTTCATCGTCAGCAAATAGTGATGGTAGTGGACCCAAGGAAAATGTTCCAAGCAAGAAGAAGAAGTCAAAAAGACGAGGTGTTGACAGTCGTGAAAGTATTTCTCTTGAAGAAAGGGTGAAGAAAAGGGAGAGGAGCACAAAAAGACTAAAGAAATCTGGAAATGATTGAATGCTGACAAAGGATGTACATGTATTAATATGTCCTGGAATATCCAGTATGGTTTTACTGTAGGTGATTCAATGCCTACATTCTTGGTCATTTACATAGAAGTCTTTTTGATTCAGCGCATGAATTAGAAAGATTGTGAAGAGGTAGTGTCATTTGTAATGAATGGATATAACAATGATAGTTCCATAAACAGAGATGCCAACCGGTACGATTACATCGTAATTAGTATGATAATAAGAGTGAAATACGATTTTTTTTTTTTTTTAATATTTTTTTTAAACCCATAAAAACAGCGGAATCGCATAGAAACCTGTACGAGTAAACCCCAACAAAAACTTTGCTTTACAATTTTCTCATTAAATTTTAATGAGAGAGAAAACATTTTTCTGAATTTTTACTGGCCCGGGGCCGACAGGCCAGTGGTAGTGTCGAGTTTTCGTGAAAATCTGATTTTTCTCTCCAAAATCTGATATTTTAGGATACTCAAATCTGTTTTTTGTGTCAAGAGGTTGGCATCCGTCTCTGCATAAATATTAATACTTGCCCTACCATATTGAAGTATCCTTGTACTGTATACTTAGGAAATATCTATAGTTTCCCACATTTGACCAAATATTAGAGTTGAAACCGGACTCTTGAGCTTAGTTTTCATTGATCAAACACAAATAAACAAAGAAGATTGCTATGGTTTTCCCCTTTTAATACATATTTCTCCGTTGGAAATCCCAGGTCTTCTATATTTTTAGATATATTAATGTGGATAGAACATACTTTGTGAATTTAGAGTCGTAAGCAATTGCTTGACATGTATTTTAAGTCTTCCATAGTGCATTTTTATGGGTTCTAGTTTATTCTCTTTAAAGAGATAGTTGAGTTCTTTTTTCAGACCGCAAATGCCTTCAAGGTGCATGGTTATTGCTCTTATTCTTATCTATGACATTTATAGTGCCCTTTTACAACCTAAAATTACCATGAAGGTAATTTTAGACCCCAAAATGTGTGAAATTTAGCCAATATGATCATACCAATTCAGCTCCACTTTAAAAAAAACATGGTGACCGTTAATTAATTATTTAATTAAAAATAACAATACATGAGCCGGCTAATTGTGGGATATATAAGCAACACGAAAATGCCAACATAAAGCCAACATCGGCATTGACTGGAATACGACGTAAAAGGCGTTATTTCGTGTTTATTAAACTTTTTTTTTTTCAAATTTTTGAAAATCTAATATTTGTGGTGGTACACAAGTTTTAGAAATCGTTATATTTCAGCCGTCTCGGAACCGATTTTAATCAAACAAAGATGATTTTGTCATTTAACTATTTTTTCATTATTTTGTGTAGCGCCCTCTGCAACAGAACTCAACTATCTCTTTAAAGAGAAACTGAAGTTCTGGTAAATCTAGAATCCAATAAAACTTACACTGAATGTTCAAATAATGTGTGCCAAACAATTTTGGTAGAAAATGTATAGTGGCTGAGTAATGAGCATAAATATAAGAAAATCTGGATAAGTAGGCCCTACACCATGTGCTTATTAAACTTGGGTCACTATGTGTAAATGGGAGTTGTGGTTTTTATTGAAGATGATGCCCAGTAAGTTTTTGTGCATTTGTTTTTATTTCACTGGTTTCATGAAATAAAACTAGTAAAGTATGGAATACTACTAGAACAGGGTTTTATTAAAGGCAGATTTATACATGTATATATTTGTCGGTGAGTTATACATAATGGTAGGGGGTGAGTTGACAAAAACTAAAATGAAAACTGCATATCTGATTATTTAACTTTTTGTTAAGAACAAAATTCTTTATTACTGACATTCATGATATTCTCCTTGGGAGAAGAAAAAAAAGTTTGGCATATCATAATGTATGCACATAAAGAGACAAGCTACACGCAAACATTACATTCTACGTGTAGTACATTTATCTCATGTTTTATTGCAGCAAAATGATAACGTAAATGGTAATATATTGTCATGTTTTCCAGTTTACTCCGATGTTACATTTTTTTTCTTCTAGGAACACGATTCTTCATCAAATCTCTATAAAAAAGGAGACGAATGATAAATGAAAATGTGACAGAAAATAAATACATATATTAATCTTGCATGCATTATGATAGCATATATGAAGGCTACATAATTTGATATATATACCGGTACAAGTATCTTGTAAATATTTCACATAAACTCATTCTGTTACTTGTACATAATATCTCAATAAGATGCTCCACATATAATCTGACAAATACATGTATTTGGATGTGTGAAGAAGAATTTTGAGATAAGATTCAATCTATTGGTGCTTGTTTTTAGGACTGAACATGTCCATTGAGAGTTGAGAATTTAAAAAAAAAAATACCCTTTACTTTTACAAGGGTGCATCAGCAACAAGCCTATAAATGGTCTTCTATTTTGTATTGTAATTAATATGATATACTTCAATAGAATTATTCAACTTATTGTTCATTGCAGGTTATCATCGGACAAAAAAGTTCCTCTCGTGAATTTAATATGAAGGCACAGAAATATTAAAGGCAAGGAGTTGTACTGCACTGTATACATGTTTCAATTAACAAAGTTTATAGTGCAGGTGGTAATTAAGGAAGTCTACAGGCTCAAAATACACTTATATCAAAAAGAGAGAAAGTGAGAGGGAGAGCAAGAGGGAGAAAAAGGGAGAGGGGGGGGGGGGGGAAAGGGAGAGGGGGGGAAGAGAGAGAGACCTTTCAATAATGTATGATAAAATCTCTACTTTGCCATGCCAGGGAGTATTTCATGAACTCAAATACATCCCTTTCCAATTTTTATGTTCAGAGCAACGCAAGTGTTTCATACAAAAATAGAATTCCATTACATGTATCTCATGAAGGAATCTCAATATATAATTACTCAACATGACGAACCAAACAAACGAATAACATACCATGACACATCACAGATATAAAGGCATGCACAAAGCCTATGAGCTGAGAAGTTGACAAATGTAGGCTCCAAACCCAGGATGATTGCACATGTATTGGACCAGCTGGACCTGATATTACAATGTATACATGAACCAGGATGTTGGATAAGCCTACTAGTTGGGGTTATAGCAGCTTGTTCTAGGACCGGGAACTGACACACTGGTGAAGACAATTGCAGCAATCTGATCTGAACCAAGAAGCATATGAAAGGAACTCTCAGTCCACAAGACTGTGATCACTGATCGAGGTCCAGCTCTTTGAGTTCTGTTTCCAGGTCTAAGTACAAGTCCAATTTGTAGTCTTACAAAGAGATGGTTCCTCTTATCAATTGCAAGTTTTTACTCTCATCTCTTATGTACATAGTTCAGATTGATATCAATCGTAAATAATTTGCGATTAATATCAACTCTTTGTAAGACAGGACCCTGGGATTATTTCAGTGTGGAACACGGCAGTTAACTTGCTTTCCTGGTTCCACACAATATGTTCTTCTCCAGCCAATGCAATATTCTGATCCAAACCAAAAGGACTATGAAAGAATGATACAGAATAACCCGGACCACAAGAGGGGGATCACTGATCCAGGTCCAGCTCATTTAATTCTGCTTCCAGTTCCAAGTCCGAGTCCAGCCCGTCTGGGTTGATCTCCGTGTTGAGTTGTGTCTCGATGTTGGCTTCGATGACATCCAGGCATACGCTATACTGCTGATCTACACCGATGTAGCAATCACTCATGATGTATAGACTGTAGATCACACGACCTGTGAGCAGGGGTAAATCAAAGTATGTTTGTAATTTTAAGATATTTTTGTACATATATGTGGAAGCCACAACCAGAGGCGGCGGAGTGACTTCCAAAGTGGGGGGGGGGGGGTGGCACCAACAAAAAAGGGCACCTTCAAAGGGAAATCTCAGAGCGAAAATATACAATTTTTTTTAGACATTTTAGACAAAAGTGCAAAGGGGCACTTACTAGAGATTAAAAGGGCACATATGAGAATGGAAAATGGACACTTATTGCAAAGGAAAATGGGACCTTGTCAAAATAAAGGTGCACTTATCAGAGGTGGAAAGGGGAAGGGGCACTTTTAGAAATTAATAGGGGCACTTTTTATGTGAAAAAGGGCACTTCTTACAAAGATAAAGGGGTACTTTTCCTATGTAAAAGAGGGCACTTTGGGTACTTTTTTTTTTCTTTACCTCTTGCATGCTATGAAGTGAAACCAAGACTGCCAAATTCTTTGGCAGCATATGATGTCTGTATCGCTAAGGTCGACTTTGGCAGTCGATGTCTGCTCAATAAGTGGACCCAAGCCTGTAAAGGGTTAAAAACTTACCTAATCTCTCAGGGGTGTAGAAGGAGAGCTGAGCCACTGATCTACCCCTGATGAACCCTATTCTCTTCATGGCAAGTAGATCCTTGTTATCTACGTCTCCCAAGACCAGCCACCAGCCCTCATCCTTCGGCTTGGAGAATCGAGGTGCATGGGCTTTGTTGTCCTGAAATTTGAAAATGCAATGTATCAGATGAATTGAATATATTTCTAATACCAACTTTTCCATTCTCATTAACTGACTATTATCATCTATATCAACAATGGGATTATCTCCTATATCTAAATTAAAACTTTCACGATAAATGTCAGTGTATTCATTATTATTTTCAATATGAATATTAGATATTTCATCAATATTACTATTGCTATCATCATAGCTATCATCATCAAAGCTATCGCCATCATCATCATCATCATCATCATCATCATCACCACTGTCATCATTCACATCAAAACCATAGATTAAAGTTCTTGGAATTACTGAGAATGTAATGAATATTACATCCAAGGCTGTTAACTGTAAAGAAACACATTCAATATGTAAATTCTAAGAATGTTAAACTTTTTATTTTTTATATAAACCCACCGGAGGACATCACTTCATTTTAAAGCCTATCTGCACTAGTTTGCCCAGGAGGAATTAGACCTCCCTGCGTGGTCACTGATAAGTGGTTATCTCATCAAATTACAAATCAGCTCTCAATTAACATAAGAGAAATGGGACCAAGGGGGACCAATGGCCACCGCTTAGGCATTATTTGCTATATAGAGGGCGCAAGTAGCTATAAGTAGTGCAGTGGGGCATTAACATGCCTTACACAAAAACAATTCCAATTCCAATTATACTTTTTTTTAAATAGCATAAAGGACTCTTGTATTTTAAACCGCTTTTTTTGTATGATGGGTAGGAGGAAGACAATGAGGAAGAAATGAACGATGTGGAACAAAAGAATAAGAAAATATATACCCTCCCTCTGTTGCGTCTCTTCAGTTCCACCTGTAGAACATACTGCTGATCGGCATGGACCTTAGTGACGTCACTCTCTCTTGCTCGACCATCTGCAAAAAGCAACATTTTGAACATTTCTTTTATCTAAAAGTGATCTACACTTTCGTTCGGAGTAATACATGTATAATAAGTGGGGAAAAAAAATTGTTTTTCTTGTTCCATCCCTATGATATCAAGGGCTACATTGATCACTGACCAAATATGGACCGTAATCTTCCAAGACAGCCAATACAAATTTGATTTGAATAAAAATCATTATGAATGAAAACACAAGTGAGAAAAAAAATTGTCATACCTATTACAAAGATATTAAGTTCTGAGGTGAAACCATCGTTATAGAGAATATTCAAAATAAATGTTCACACCAATAAAGGAAGATATACCTGTTCATGTACATGTTTGCGCACAGGGTGGTACCAAAAAAGTTTGGTTTAAGTTGCTCAGGTGATCAACTTCATCAGAATTTCTCACCAATATAACTTTCTAAAAATCCCTGCCCCTGGAAATCTGGAATTGAAGCGTCAGATACTTACGGATATAGGTCGCAGGTAGCCGTTTACTCTCTTGCTGTCCACCTTCCACCCACCACCCGTTCATAGAGAGACCAACCTCGATAACTGGCAGCTTATCCACTACATGCCATATCTGTAGATGATAAAGAGATGACAACATACAGTAACAACTGATGAACTTTACCAGACCAGGGGTGTTTCACAAAGATCCTAAGGCAAACTTAACTCTAAGTTGGACTTAAACATTATGGAGAGCCATTTGTAGCCTTAGATATTCAAAAGCGAAAATTCAAGTATTTTAGAATTTCTATACATTCCACATCAAGAACATGAAATCTCCTTGATAATAGAAAATATGAATGACTGGAATCAACATTTTATGTCTTTTAAGATAACTTTTACAAAATATTTTCATAGATGCCAACAGCTTTCCATAATTGTTAAGTCTAACTTAGAGATAACTTCAACTTAGGGTCTTTGTGAAACACACCCCAGTTCCTGTACCACACTGTACCATGTCATATAGTGGATGAACAAAATACAACAAACATCTTACAAATTTTATTCTTCCCATACATCTTCCACGACAGCTTCTAATATCTTAATATTTGGCTATAAAGATATTGATAAGATCAATTTCATTTCATTCTTTTCCTTTCAAAATGGTATTTTTTTTATAATACAGTCACGACGGTGGCTAACAGTTCTTCTTCTATTACTTGCCTGACAGGATTCAATTTGTGTACTTTTGAAATCAAAGCATGTTCAATTGTTGTAATCAGCATTTGAAACTTACCACACATGACACCGAAAATTGATATGCACTTTTTATACAAACTACCCAAAAGAGTTCATACCCACAAAGGTTCTTGACTGACATTACTCCCCATTTATGATAAACATGTCAAGTCAGACTGTCCAAAACATTGCAAATGACTGTATAAAATGCTGCACTACACTGCAAAGAGTTGGAGGCCTGATGGCTCAGCGGTAGACCAGTGGTCCCGTAACCTAGAGATACCAGGTTGGAAACCAAGTCAATACGCTTGTGCCCTTTGGTAAGGCATTTATCCTCATTACCAAGTCCCTCAGAGAGGACTGAAAGCCGTGGGTCCCCTGGTTGCTTACTGACAAGCATACACATGCTTTCTTATAGCAGTCGGGTAAAACAAACAAACCCCATACCATACCTCATCAATTTGTCGATCGGTCAGCTTGTTCTTGAGCATAGACCTCAAGGAGTGTTTATTGTGGCAGGCATCCATTAGCTCCGGTAGACCTTCAATTGCTCCTGCTCTTGTCCTGTAGGATACAGTGTACATGTATAGTGGGATTAAATATTATGTTAAATATAACCACAGATAGAAGATTTGAGAATAGTTTGGTAGAATACATGAAGAAGAAGAAACATGTAAGAGTATTTTCTGTTTTAGTTATCTCTGTGTGAAATGTGGAATAACCCACTTTGAATTCTGCAATGAGACTACTAGAATATGCTTGAATTAAAATTCAAAATTTGAAGAAGAAAACAAAATCACCTCTGCCATTTAAAATGTTGTAGGTACTATTCAGTTAATTATTCTAATTCCACTGTGTGGAAAATGTGAGTTTGGTTTGCAGCATGTATGTGTGACTGCAGAGTGTTGTCACCTAAAGGGATGAGATGTAAAAGCTCTACAGAACATGAGGTAGGTAAGTAGAGGTGAGAGAGCAAAAGACAAATTTGTTTAAATACAAAAAAGCAAATTAGGATACAGAAAGGGGAGAAGATAAAAAAGTTTTCTCATTGGAGATCACATAAGATTGCCTCGACTATCACCACAGAGATCTGAAGTTGAGCTTATCTCTAAGTTGGACGTAACAATTATGGAAAGCCGTTAGCATCCTGAAAATATTTGTTTACAGTTATTTTAAAAGGCATAAAATGTTAATACAAATCATTCATATTTTCTAATATCAAGGAGATTTCATGTTCTTGATGTGGAATTTATGAAAAGTCTCAAATACTTAAATTTTTGCTTTTGAATAGAGCTTAGTTTAAGGCTACAAATAGCTCTCCATAATGATTAAGTCCAACTTAGAGTTAATTTCGGATCTTTGTGAAACACCCCCAGGGCCCCATCTTACAAAGAGTTGCGATAGATCCAAATCAATCGCAAGTCCTCCAATCAATCGCAAGTTTGCAGTATGCTATCTCTTATGTACCGGTACATACTTGCGATTGATATCAACTGTTTGTAAGACAGGGCCCTGGTCTCATCTTCTCACCTGAAGTGTTGGAGATGTGAAGGCTCCACATGAGGAAGGGTTAGTAGAGGAGAGTCATCAAACCATCTGGCCTGGATGATGGACTGTACAAGGTGCATAGTCTGCAGTGCGGGCGCCAACCAGCCGTTGAAGGATACAACATCAATCATTGCCTGGTGATGAATATAATATACACAACCATTAGCATTTCAATTCAATCCACTTGTATCAACGTAGATAAAGAAGGTGTTTATTCCCAAAAGACAGAAAGAGAAATGTTATTCCAGTTACCGTTTGGGTCTTGTCAGTATATGATTGATGAAGAATGTATAACAATGCTGTTACATACAAACAAACAAAGGAGAAATCACATTGTCAATTCATTAGAGACAATTTTAGTTTTGTTTTGAATGGCTGTTTTGGGGGTACTGGTTAAAACAGCAACCAGTTAATAAATGCGCTTCTAATTCAATGTTCTAATTTTCTGGTATCAAAAACATTCACATTAAAATTTCCCCCTGATCATCGTCACCACAATCGTCATCATCACTATTATCATCATCACCACCATCATCACCACCATCATCACCAACACTATTACTATACATCATCATCATATCATCACCACTGTCATTATTATCTTCATCATCATAGTTCTCATCATACATGTAGTTCTCATCATCATTTTCTTCTTCACCATCACCACCACCACCACCACCACCACCACCACCACCACCACCACCACCACCACCAACACCATCATCATCATCATCATCATCATCATTACTACCACCATCACGACCATTATCACTACCACCCCCACCACCAGCACAATTAGCATCACTAAGGTCATCCACCCTGCTACCCACCTGAAGAACCCTTATGGCTTGGTCTAGCACCGACTTGGTATCAGTGAAGTAGTCACTGCATGGTAGCTGAGCTCTTGACATGTGAGCTTGGAGCAGCAGGTTCGCCTTGGTGTGAGGGCTGTCAAAGGAATGCTTGTTCACCTCCAAGGGAAGCCCTTCTGCTAGATTGCTGTGCATGAATGAATTAATGGGAGGCAAGGGGGGAGACAGAAGTGTTTACACTTAGGATTTGAAGATTCAATTATTTACATGTACATTTAAAGAGAAGGTTAAGTTCTGAGAAGAAGTGAAAAATAATTTGTGAGCGTTATAATTGTTAATATGCAAGTGTGGAAGAATATAAGATTAAAATGTTCCCCAAAGAACATGGCTCTTCTAATTCCTTAATATTCTGAAAATGGCACGTAACATCATACAAATCAGGACAGATTTCTTTGCCACATGATCATGTAGTCCCATATACATATTTCTGTGTACAGTGCCTGTGACCAAATTTCTAATCATTTCTAATCGTTTTAATGATTCTGGAACCTTGCAGTACACACTAATACTTATACATGTGTATGCTAGATGATCAACCTTTTCTAATCAATTCCACGTTTCTTTCACAATGCAATCGCATGACCAGAACTCAACTTTATCTATAAGATCAACTTTAATACCACATCAAAATTTACATCAAAGACACATGCTCTGGTAACAACTGTTCCACAGCCAATAACACAATAACTAAATTCTTACTTCAACCCTGGACCCTACACTAGTACTATATCTAGCTTAACTGCAAGCCTGAATATATTGCACATGTATACCTGTTTAGAGAATCCTCATTGTGTCTCACTGGAAGACCTTCATACTCGTGGGCATCCTGCAAAATAAAACAAAAGGCAGAAAAAGAGCAAGCCATGTTTTAGATATTGAAGTGGATTCCAAAAATGTTGCATTAGAACTACATAAATGTATAAAAGTAATATTATGACTGCACGGCAGGAGCTGTGCATACATGTAGGTAATAGTTACTGCACCATTGTGCAATATGACAAAGTACAAGTAGATATAGCTACATTTACCATAATTCATAAGCAAAAGAAAATAACTACTAGGTAAATATTCTGCAAGACCCAATATCTTTGAACCAAATACAGTGTACATGTAATACAGAATAATTGAATAATTCTTGTAATTTCTTCTGATTCTATCATTTTTCTTCTTACATTGTTTCAATTCCTTTGTCTTCTTCTTTCTTCTCCCCCCCCCCCCCCCCCAATCTCTCTCTGTGTCTGTCTCTTTGTCTCTCTCTCTCTCTCTCTACCTTTCATTTGTCTCCATTCCCTTTGATTCATCCCCTTCATTACCTTCTTCCACTCCTCCTTCCCCCCCCCCCCCCTCCCCTTTTCTTTCCCTTCTCTCTTTTATCAATGTCTCACAAAGATACACTTCTATATGTCTACACCACCATCATTCCCATTATCACCTACAGAGCTAGACCAAAAATTTCTGTCACTTTTGTTCATTAGCCTCTTATTTGGGTAGGGTCGGCTCCTCTCTTTAGAGACAGAAGCCGACCATAGGGTCTGCTCTGCAAACTTTGGCGGCACAATCGGTCTACTACAGAGCATGACTTACCGATAGTATTGTGAGGAGGTCTGGGAATGAACAGTCTGGTCCTAAGCTCTCTTGGAACATACGGACCGTCCTGTGATGAAGGTAGTAGTAGGACGAGATCCTCCCCAAGGTCTGAGGCTCAAGGGTACGGTCATCCTGTAGAGAGAGAGAGAGACAGAGAGGGGAAGAGAGGGAGAGACAGAGACAGAAAGAGACAGAGAGGGAGAGAGGGACAGGGAAAGAGAGGGAGAGACAGGGACAGAGAGGAAGAGACAGAGACAGACAGACATTTGCAGAGACAGAGAGATAGTGAGAGGGGAGAAAAGAGGGAGAGAGACAGACATACTTGCATAATTATTCTCCCATAATTGTTCTTGAGAAGCTTATCTAGAATATGTGTAGTATGGTTGACATGCTTATCGAAATAGTTCATCCCGCATTATTTTGGTCACATTATTATAATACATGTAATATTGGAATAAGTATTGTTAGTTGGGTACAAAAATTGGACAGGGGAAAAATATCCACTTCCATCTTTTCTGATACACTTTCATATTTCAAACCCACATCTTATTCACTGAATTCTTCCTCTCTTACACTTTATATTCATAATATCAAACTTTGTAGAAGATTAACCACATGTACTCACATCTCCAATCTCTATGCAGTAGGAGTAAGCAAGATCCAACAGAGATTTCTCCACCAGCCCAGACAGGAACTTATTGATGCCTTCATGAGAAGTGTCCTCCAGCTCATAATAGCTTTAATAAAAAAGTAAAGAAACAATAAATCAATCATATATAGATATATATAATACATACATTATCCTTTTATGTATTTCGTCTCCAGGGGAGGAAAGAAAATGTCAAAACTGGTGATCCAAACTGGTGTTCTGTTCTTGCAGATGAGAAGAATATTTGTACATGTAGTTCAAAACATTAATCATTCATCAATAGCAAAACTCTTGGCTTTTTTTCCTTCATTTTCTATGAAGGCCATTTTCAATACATACTGTATTCTTAGTACACCCATGCACCCAAGTATCTACAACTGATGCAGCAAGCAGAATGGATATCAGTAAAAGAGAATTGTTTAGGAATAGCTGAATGCATTTTTTTTTTCCAGACTAGAAGAATTCTACAGACAAATCATCACATCACATCGCAGTAATAATCTGTTATCATACATGTACGTGTTTATGGGTTTTGACATAATGTAGAGGTGTTGTGGTTGAGTGGACATGTCACCGGACTGCAAATGACAAGGTCCGCGGTTCGAGTCCCGCAGCACTAATGTCCGCAAGATATTGATCTACATTTGCCACACTCGACCCAGGTGAGGTAAATGGGTACCTGGTAGGATTATTCCTTGAAATGCACTGTGCGCTAATTACGGCTACAGGAGCTAAAGCTAGGGTAATCATATCCAAAGCTCTTTGGAAACGCACAGAGAAGTTATATATTATGATATGCGCTTTACAAGAATCAAATATTATTAATATTATTATTATAAGTATTCTTGATGTTCAGAAGTGAAAGGGTTAATACCTTGGGTTCATGACGAGTCTCCTGAAGAAGTATGTCCATGTGATGTAGTCCATGGCATCTTGTTTGGACGTCACCGTACCAGCCACTATCTCTGCATTCAGATGCTCGGGTAGTACATCCAGTAGGCTATCCCAAAAATCATGGAATTGAAACTGTTAGCTGTGATTCCTAAGTTGGAATCTATAAACTGGGACCTGTTTCACAAAACTTGTCATCAGTGACAAATGACAGTCTTTGTTATAAGCTACTGAAATCCTTGCTTCTGATTGGTTATCAGCAGATTTGTCACTGATTTTTGTCAATTGTCATTGAAAAAAGGCTTTGTGAAACGGCTCCCAGATGTGTGTCTTGCAGAAGGATGTGAACATCAATTGTTGACTAATTACAAAACTTGTGAGTTCTGTTACTCAAGTAAATAAGATATCAACTATTTGAGCAACGCAAGGACTGAACAGGTTTTGTAGAATCTAGTCAAAGAATGATAACAACTTTGGAAAGCGACTTTCTCGATGAATGTACATTCAGTTCATTCACGATTTACTCCTTACTTTAACAAATTCAAATGGATATGTATGTATATTGAGTGGAGTAATACTAAACTTCCACTTTGCAATAATACAAATTGAATAGCATGGAATGACAATTCAGAAACAGAGTAATGACTTACAAACAAGAAGCAACACATACAAACAACTGGATTCATTTTTCAATAGATCCATTAGAGAATAATATCATGGTATAACTGAATGTAATGAAACATCTGACTTAGTTGGACTCTACAGGGAAAGGCTCATGGGGAACTTCTTGTAGAAGTGATTCTTGATGCCATGCACAGAGAAGACGGCTGTTCCTTGGTCATCATACAGATACAAAGCAATCTATCATTGTTTCTGAGGGGTAGGGTGGGCGGAAGGGAGAGTAGGGGCACCCTTGTACTTACTTAGACTCTACAGGGAAAGGCTCATAGAGGAACTTCTTGTAGAAGTGCTTCTTGATGTCGTGCACCAAGATGACGGCTGTTCCTTGGTCATCATACTGGGGGCGCCCTGCTCGACCCATCATCTGAAGTACGTCTGACAAACACAAATAGATTGTTTACATCATTGTCTAATGACGCTAAATAATTGCTAATTTCTCTATCTAAAGGATTTCTAGTGACAAATTATTAACATTATTTATTTAATAAGAACTTGAGATATAAAATACAGACGATGAAGTAATGGTTATAAACATACATGAAGATTATGTGACTCTCATGCATTGCATCTTTTCAGTGAAAAAATGAAGAAAAAAAAAACATCTTGTCACAAATGAAGAGTACTTAACTTACTAACTTATTTTGAAAATATTATGTTTTTTATGCAGTGTTTCTATGGTGAAAATCTCAAACATAATTAAACAATATGAATTCATAGAATAACAAATCAACAATATATATCAATAGAATACAAGAATACAAAGAGAAGACAAAAAACATGTTTCCCAAGAATGTAATTGGGTTCTTAATATGAATATAAAGTAACTACAAATCTACAAAATGCTCTGTACCTGTGATGGGGAAGTCAGCATATCTCTTGGTCTTGCCATCAAAGTATTCTGTGCCTTTGATTACAACCAGATGGGCAGGGAAGTTGACTCCCCAGGCTAGGGTGCTGGTTGCTATCAAGACCTGACCAAAGAGAAACAATCACATATTACACTTACATTACGTAATATAGGTAATAGAACCTTGAAAATACAACTTCACTCTGCATATATTCCCCCCCCCCCCCCCACTAACAACATGTAGTTTTAACTGTGAGAACCATATAAGGTAATCACAAAGAAAACAATTGAAAAATCTGCTTTATTTAGTTAAAACATTTTAATACACTTCTGACAATCAATATCCAATGACTCACTATGATTTTCTATACATAAATGTTACTGTGTTCCCTTCTACAGCCACTTCCAAAGATGTTGTAGCATATTATACATACATGTACGTCTTCAAACAAAGGAGTTAAAGTATTAAGGTCAGTATTTTTAATCGAATGTCATCAACCTTCCTTGTATCTTTTTCATGGCACTGTTTTTTACAATTTATTTTATCTATTTAGTCATCAATTGTAGTCTATTCTAGACAACAAGCAAACAAACAAATTTTTAAAAGGATTAATAATAACACTTAAATTCAGAAAATACAAAGAATCCCGGACCTACATTGTATGTTATTCTAGTTTTCAGAATGGGGAGACGAAGGGGCGGATATTCTTACCTGTATCTTCTGGTTACAGAAGAGTTCTTCTACCGTCTTCCTATCTCTCTCGTGCAGACCAGCATGATGCATACCGATACCAAAGGACAAGGTCAATCGTAGGTTACTGTCCTTCACAGACTCTATGAGATGATCCATCTAATCAATACAATGCATATAAGTTACGAGTCAAGAACAGGGCATTGTTTCACGAAACCGTCATAAGAACAAGTTCGCCGGCATCCCGTTAAAATTAAGTACACATGTTTTAATGTGTTTTCTGCGAACTTGTACTTATGATGGTTTTGTGAAATGCTGCCCTGGATTCTTGCAAATGTATAACAAACTTGCTATAATCAAGGTGAATTTCAGGAAAGTTTTAAGAAGGAAACTTTTCCATGACAAGGATACTGATAGAGGTAATACTATATGTAATTTAAACATAGCTTTGGTTCTCATCACCCCCCCCCCCCTCCCCCCCCCCCCCCATGCTGCCAAATTTCACTGCATGTGCAACAAGGCTAAAAGAAAAGGAAATTCCAAACAAGAAATCTGGTTGACTATCTTGATGATGCAAAAGTTCAAATTGTTACAACAGAAACTTTACCACTGAAGGGTAATCTGTACTTGATACATTGTACGTTTTATTGTACATTGTACGTTTGTTTCGCTTGGGAATAAAAGTACAAGTACATTTGCTACATACTGAACCCAAAGTGATCAACAAATCAAATCAAATCAAATCAAATGCTTGTATATTTTCTTATCATCCTAACAGTTGACCGTTAGGAACAAGCTGACTTAGAGCACCTCAAGCCTCTGACAAAGGAAGATTGAAATGGAGAAACAAGGAGATCTGTGAAAATGGGTAAAGTGAAATTGATGTAAGTGTCAACAACATAAAAACTGCTTCATCCCTATTAAACAGTTCTCGCATTGGACCTGTCCCGGTTATCAGGAAACCTGAGAAGAGGTCGTCTCCTCGTCGTCTTACCTGTTGTTCGTCCATGTGCATCCACTGTTTGGGATTGTCATCTCCAGCTAGATAGGAGATGAGATCTAGAGCGGTCAGTCTGGTCTGTCTACGAGACGATACAAAGACCAGAGTTGGTTTGGTCGGGGAATGCACCTTGATGGCTGTGGAATCAAAAAGGAAACATTCTGCTGTAATTCATGCTATATAATGGTAAACTCAACAAAGTCGTCTTACAATGGTGGTACCAGACTTTCTTCCTCTCTGTATTTTACACACCATTAAACATCTTTGGACGAGCAAATACACCTGTCCATTATGATCACTTTCAATGTATTTTATATAAAATATGAAACTAATATGAAGATGCATGCATTTTCTCTGTCACATTCAAAATGCATGTGTCTATTAGCAATGAGAAGTTCCAAAACAAATACATTGTATTTGTGTAATACTTCATTAATTTCATTAATTTCTCTCCATTGCACTTTATTATGCACAGTACTTGTATCAGAGGTCTCTAGATTATTTTCAACATGACGAAATAACGACAGTGGGCCATCGCCGCCATTCATGTCGGGTTTCCGGACGGCTCGGGGGTCTCTAACTCCCATTTCTTGGCTAAGTTACTGCGTTTGTTTTAGTATTCAACATCTGTCCACATAACAAATCCCCTCAAAGTGCACATTCTTAATTCTTTAACCATCGTTAGGGCATCAGAAGCAAAGTATTCACCTTGGAATGTTGGCTTGTTCATCGTGGCCATACGAGGGCAGTAGTGCTTGCCAGGAAACCCACTGATATGAACCTCCAGAGGAACGGGTCGTACAGAGGGACGAAAGTTGAACAGACCAACCTATCATACAAGTGTAATACATTAAAAACAAAATATTTATGTTGACACTGTTCACATGATATACATTGTGTACATGAGATTTGGAGAGGGATGATTTTTGTTTCATCTACATGTATGCTATCTTTTCTCAATTTCAGTAAAGTATCTGCGTGGTACCCAATACTTCAGTCACAACTCACTTATTGGCTTAGATAAAATACTGATAGGCGACTTATCTTTGGGATAAATATTTTACTCCAAGTCTAAAATGGCGCCAGAGCTGGCATAAGCCCATTGGTTTAGAAGCCTTGACTGGCAGGCATGCAATTTTCAAACATATGCAGCTCATAATAAGCTGTGTACCAGCAAACTATATAAGTGCAACATTTTAATGTGACATGCTTATTGTGCATAGTTTTGGAATGGGTATGCGACACCTCAAGGTTTAACTTGCTTTTTAATTCTTAATAGAGCTTTATGTTTATTCTTGAAGCTCTTAACCCTACCCCGCCCCCTTTAATTTGCAAGCTAGAAGCAGGATCAATCTTTCCTTACCTCCTTTATGCCAAGCCAATCGGCCAAGTCTCTGGCATTGGCGAGGGCAGTGGAGAGTCCGATAACTCGCACCTTGCGATCAGTATGGTGAGAGATGAAGTTAGTTCTGGATACAATCACTTCAAGGACTGGCCCTCTCTCATCACCTACAAGTGTGAGGAAAAGAGAAAATAAATTCACATGAACTTAGAGGAGAGTGTCCAGGGCAAAGGTACAATCAATAATGTGTTTAATACAACAATACCTTTAATTTCTGTCGTAATAAATCTCAACTCCCAAGCATTTCTAAATCAGGACCAAAATGTTAAATGTAAATCTTAATTGACCTTATTGCAATGGGACCCTGATTATCTTTGATCTGCTTAATTTATTGTGGAAAAGGTTATAAAACGTTAGCAACATTCAAGTATCAAATGTTTTCAACTATTCTTCTGCATGCCAGTTCATTATAGGTTCAAGACATTCAATTTCATATACATTTACATTCATATAAAAAGACAACACATGTCACAAAACAGTCATGAAAACTGAGAAAAGTTATCAAATTTTATTGATAATTTTGTTATTTTATTATGCATACATTGAAAATATCTTGTTTGCAAATTACATATGACGAAAATTTGAAATATTTATGAATCAAGTCAATCAATACAAACGTATATAAATTCATTGTACAGGAAGAAACAGCTATTAACCTGTTAACTTCTGTATCCACCCCCCCCCCCTCCCCTAGGCTTAATACAGGAGCCAACCAGGGGGGTGTTTCACAAAGATCCTAAGTTTAGCTTATCTTTAAGTTGGACTTAACAATTATGTAAAGCCGTTAGCATGTTTGAACATTTTTTGTAAAAGTTATTATAAAAGGCATAAAATGTTGATTCAAATCATTCATATTTTCTATTATCAAGGAGATTTCATGTTCTTGATGCGGAATTTATGAAAATTCTACTGCTTTTGAACATATTTTACTTTAAGGCAACAAATGGCTCTCCATAATTTTGAAGTCCAATCTAGAGTTAAGTTCGATCTACGTTCCTTGTGAAACACCCCCCAGTTCCTGTAGGCAATGGGCTAACAGAATCCTCACCAAGCAAATGGATCTCGTCAATGACGATCAGTGAGACAGCCTTGACGTAGTTTCTGTTCTGCCAGCTTCGACTCACTCCGTCCCACTTCTCCGGTGTCGTCACGATGACGTCTGCTCTAGCTATGGCATTGGCGTCTGGCGTCACATCGCCGGTCAGTTCTACCACTCTGAAAGTTATGTCACAAGTACAATCGCTTTAAACTCTTAGAAAATATGCAAACATTGGTAATTTTGTCTTAAATATCTGTAGACATTAAATGAAATATGGATTTTTGTAGCAGGGATAAAGGAGAATGGTAATTACATCCTATTTCTTTTCCAAGGTGCAGTCACAAAGATACATGTATATGTCAAGACTATGGAATTGTTGTCTTAAGTGACATCAGATCACCTGTCAGTTCTCTCACTCTAAAATTCATTCATTAAATTTATTCTAAGGACTAAGGTCTAGGGTACAAGTGATTATTTGCAGAAAATATGCAAACATAGGGATTTTTAAAAGATACATTACCTAAAAAGCGAAAGCTCTGAGGAATTGTATGTATCTGTTCTAACCATTTTAAGGACTTTTATGGTTACATTATGCCTGTGGCTTTAAAAAACACAGATCCCTTCAAAACTAAGTACACTTGTTCAACTCACCTTTTGCCCAGTTTCTCCTCCAGTCTGACTTTCCAATCTGTAATTCTCTCTCGGACCAGAGCCTTCAACGGTGCTATGTACACAACCTGTGCAAGATCAATATATAAACAAGCTACTGGGTGATTGTTTGACCAATAAGGACAAAAGCTATATACATGTACACCAACTGATATTACACAGTAGTTCCTTGTTGTTTTGCTAAAGTTTATCACAGATCTTTGTAGCTTTATGGAGTTTGGCCTGCAGGCAAAGACAGTCTGTTAACAGTGTTGGCTCTTCACTGGAAACTGAACATACTAATAGCAGCGCCAAAGTACTGTGCCTTTATTGCAATTTTAAGACCATGGACAGTAAAATAATATTAATTTCAAGTTGGTCTTAGGCTGCTCATTGAACACAGTAAGCTCAGTGAAAAAGTTCTGTTCCTCTATTAAACTTTCATAGTTCAAGATGAGAGTAACTTTAGTTTGGGTTGTTCATGAAACATTATAGAACTTAGTACATCTATTCAATTAGAACGATAGATAGTAAAATCTGTCTGTTGAATAAATCTAGTCATCTGATTGGTTCAAATTGGAGTCGTGATTTTAGCCATGCCGGCAAAAAAACAAACTATGCCTGTTGCCCTGAGTAACGGGCAATAGGTAATGACAAAGATGCCTGTTGCCCCAGGTAACGGACATAGTTAAATTTTGCTGAGATCCCCATTGGTTTACGTGTCAAAAGGTTCTTTGAGCGAACGTGGATACGATACAGTGTGTCTGCAATTCCTGAATGATCGTAAATTCAGGCAACTTTCCGGCGAAGATTAACAGACATGCAGACAGTGTCTCAGATTATCTGTGATGTTTTAACCAATCTTTACTCAAGAAAAGGATAAGGTAAGAATTCTTGGTCGATTTTTGTGTCAATTCGGTATACAAAAGATATATTGACTGCTTTAATTTTCAAGGACTAGCTGTTTCTATACTGGCTCTCGTGGACGTTGCATCCTACCGTGACCCAGTGCCATTGATTAGGAGAGTTTGGTCAACCCGGTTTAATAGAATTGGACACAATATGGAGACTCTTTGTTGGGCAAGCACAAAACAAAAGAATATATGCCATATTACGACCCAGTGAAACCAAGTTGGCCAAACTCATGTGTATAGATGGCTCTGTCATGACCCATCCTATAAAAACAGCCAGGCCTCTCATAGCAGTCCATATATCTATACTATTTACCTTGGTCTTTGGCTGTTCTCTGAACACTCTGAACATGGCAATCTCAGCTGCTACTGTCTTGCCTGATCCCGTAGGAGCACCAAGCAACACATTGTGGTCTGTGTGGTACAGGGTATGGAAGATCTGTGTCTGTGGACAGACAGAGAAAAGGATAAATCATAAACAAAGTTTGTGGAAATGTGGATGTGTGTGATGTGACTGTATATGATGTAGATCAGCAAATGTGGAAATAAAATATGAAATGTTAGGAATCTCACTGTTTGAAAACCACTCATGAAAAACTGAGCATTCTTGATGGATGTCACTTCCTGAACACATTACTCAAATTTATCCATTTTCTTTCATCTCATATCTTATATCCAAGTAAAATTATGATTCTTGATGAACATCCAATCTAATCCGATCCACATAGTATTGTGCCCTTTCCATGGAGTTACAAGCACTTCACAATTTGCTCAACAAAGTTTTAGTAGAAGGGCTGCATTAATAATGTTTACCAGTACACACTTCAAAATGACCAGTTTAGTCACACAAAAATTCATAACAACCGATGCTCTTCAACAAAACAAAACAAAATAAGAGGACCTTTAAAAAAAATTGAACTGGTCAATATTTAAAGTGAAATGGCAAGAAAAACTGAAACTGAATAAGGAATAAGCAGCAAGATAAATACTAGTAAGATAAAAGCCAAAATGTTTGTTTTCCCCATATTTCAAAATGTGTTACACTATAATTCAATCAACCAGTGAGAAGACTGTGACATACATTTAATAGTACTTTAAATATTTTTGCATCAACAAATATCTTACCTGGATAGGATTGAAGTAGTCAAATTTCTGAAGCATCTGATACTGTGCGTTCTTGAGGGCAGTCTTAGGAAGAGGCACAAGGTCCAGCAACTCTGGAAAGAGGATTGAGAAAAGATGAAATGAAGTCAGAAATGTCATAATTATGTACTGTAAGGTCACACAATGTTCCAAATGGTGTTGGTGGAAGGTAAAAAAGTAAGACCAAGGAAAAGATGTAAAATAGACAAATAAATAGACAAATTTGTTTCACCAACTTAAGAATTGTTTATTTTTTGTAATCAAAAATATTTTAGGAAAAATATTTTAATGCTTTGAGGTTTGATTGTGTGTAGGAAGCTGGAATTTCAAGGTGATCACTTGTTTTTACGAAATATGTTGCCAAATACACCATTTGGGGAACTGTAACACTTGAATCCTGTTTATTTATCTACACACCTATCTACACACCTATCTGCAAACCCGATCCAACAGCAGATCTGTGACAAATGCTTCAGTGACAATTACTCCGCAGTCAATATACTACACTTCCTGAATTCCTAACACTATATATATATATATATATATATATATAAATACAACCCTAACCGTCACCCTTCCCCTCATCTTTAATTGATTCGCAATGCTGTAAAGCCTGGAACACTTCTTGGCGAGGCAAATATTGGGTCCCCATACTCCAGCCATGTCCCCTGACATGGAAAAACGATAATCAAGCTTACTGGTGTTAGGTCTCAGCTCAAAGAAAGTTTATTCACCTTTTTTATGGTGTATCTCAATCTCAAATACCAAAAGAAAATCTCATTTTCGTCAGGGTAACATAATTCTTAATTCTCATGTGACAACCCCTTCTTGAATGTAGTCTTTCATCTTCAACCCACCTGTATGTGGAGGATGTCTTTCAGGCAGAATGAGATGCTGGAAAGAGATGGGACAGATAGTCTCCGATCCCAGCCACCGATCTGATACAGCCTTCACGTAGTACTGGGAGGGTAGAGGCTCAAAGATTGGAATGGTGAACACCAGAGTTTGATCATCTCCACTTAGGGCCTAGAAAAAGAATGACATAAAGTTGGCGGTCAGACTACAAAATTGCAAAGGGCTATGTCACATTGAAGCATGTTTGTTCTTTTCGCTTGATACTATGTTTCTCAGACAATTCATAACAAATTTGTATTACCTGTGCAAACCTATTCATATTCAAATTTGTTGTCCAATGATTGGAAATTTGTTTCATTTTGTTTCATTGCACCGGTACTACTAAAAAAGGAGTTCTTATTTAATTTACACATTTGTGTACATTTGTGTACGTATACATGGAAAGAAGAAGAGGGGAAGACCTCGTAAAGGCTTTTTAGATGAATTAATCACAGAATGTGGAGCAACAGGATATAAAATGCTCAAACGGATTGCTCAAGACCGAGGTACATGGAGAGGCACTTGATATAGAATTCTGATTGGGTCACTGAACCTGTCATAAACTTGCAGATCGCTATTGATGATGATGATTTGTGTAATATTTGCTAAGCTGATGATATAAGAATGTTACCTGTTTCTTTTGCAGAAGGAAGTACTCTGAATGGTAGATATGGTTGTTCTCAGGGTCCTCCACCCAGATCCACCATGACTCTGAGCCGGTACCGTGCACCCTGTCGTTCCATGTGAAGTCCGGCGTGATGGTGAGACGCACCCGTAGCACGGTGCGCGTGATGGGCTGGATGGAGGCGTCGAGTCTGATGGCCGGTAGCTGGTGCACGCAGCTCTTGATCTTGGAGCCCATGCTGACATGGTGGACCATCAACCCTGAGGGAGGGATCGCAAGAGATTTGCTAAGGTGTCGTTCACACATGACGTGGGAAACTGCAGCATTTGTTTTTATTGTATATACAGGTAAATGGCAAGGAGGGATGAAAAACTATGGTAACATGGTGGACCATCACCCCTGAGGGATCACAAGAGATTTGCTAAGGCTCCTTCACACATGACATGGGTAACTGCAGCATTCTTTGTTTAATTGAATTTATATATGGCAAGGAGGGATGAAAAACTATAGCTACGCACATCAACGGTCCTATGCATACTCACTATCTGTGTGTTACAAGTTAGACAGATGTGTGAAAAATGCATTTTACCTCATATTTAAAAGAGCTGCTATAGGCAATACGCATACTTCAGAGCCTACACACAGCCTCCAGAGGGCTTAAATTTTTCATATTATACAGCTCACTATGATTCAGTTTAACAACATTAAATTAAGAACATTCTACACTGTTAACTTAATCAAAACATTTGGCAAGATATCATATCTACAGGATTTTGATTCTTCATTATGGGATAGTAGTTTCCTACCTATTTCCTTGGAGTCCATCTCTCTGAGCTTATCTACGGTAAGCTTCCTGCCCTCTAGTTTGCGTAGTATCTCATGAGAGAGCACAGAGAACTGTCTAAGAGGGTTCTCCCAGGCCCAGAGACGTCTATCGATGGACTTGGACAGCATGAGGAGGCTTGCTGCCATCAGGGGCCAGCCTGTACGCAGGGTGATCTCAAACAGGGCTCGGATTATACGGGCTGCATTCTGGAAGAGGAATCAAAGATTTGATTGTTAGGTTACTCAACATTAGTATTGTCTGTTTATCTGCTACCATTACCCTATACCAGTTTAGTAATTTGACGATCATGACCACTACTTTCTCTTAGTTTAGTTTAGTATTGTGTTGATTATGAGTATTCTGTAAATCTCTAAGAAAATGTGGAATTTCAAGAGCTGCGTGTCTTTTCAAAAATCAAAGCAAAACTACAGCCGTACTGCCTTCAGACCAAGCATTAATTCTCAAATCATTATTAAATCAAAATGGTTCAAGAACTTGGATCTATCAAAAAGTAGCCTTGGAACTAGATGATACAAAACCAACTGACAGTCTACATATAAAGTGCCCTAGGAAAAGGATTTAATACTCTTATTACCAAGTTACATACAAAACAGGTCATCATATAAAATTCATGTACGTGCTTTTTCTTTGTCAAAGTATACTACATGAACATATTGATATTGATTGTAATACTTTAGTCACAACAGCAATCCAATTCTACACCAAAACTAAACCAACCAATTCTTGGCCATTTAGGGGTAACATAGTTTTTTCATTGATTTGTCGGCCTCGCATCAGTCTTGTACATGTAGGTTGGATCGAGGTATGACATTTGCAAATGTTGCAAAGTTTCAACAGATTTTGGGATCAGTAACGTGGTAGTTATCTCAAATATGTATAGTTATTTATCTTTTGTTTAAATTTGTTTATATGTTGTTGTTGTTTTTTGATTTGTTTTATTAATGTTGTTGTTTTTTGGGCTTTGCTTTACATAATACTATGAATGCTTTGGGAACTACTAGTATGCTAGTACAAGGCCTAAGGGCTTTATTTATGTAGTTCCCCATTTTCTAAATTTGTTTATGAATTATTTTGTATCTTTTGTATGAATGTACTTTTTAATCGAGAATGAAATAAATGAGAATTCAGAATTGAATTGAATATAAAGTATTGTAGTTTGTGTTCACGTTTACTCACCTGTGCAACATATGCTGAGTCTGAGACGAGTGAGAAGCTATCCACGTTGCCCCTAGAGATGAAGGTCTGGAGGAGGATGTTGACCTTACCATGAGCATTCTCTACTCCACCAGCAGCAGGCATCTCACAGTCATCCTCAAGATGGTCCTGAAGCTCTCGCATCTCATCCTCTCGAACCTGAAATATGGAATGACAAGGATGAATCTTAAAGGCATCGTTCAACAATGTTAAACCTGAGATGCATGGCCCTAAGTGTTATCAGTGTCTATGATATGGTGTAATATTGAAGCCCTACAAAAATTGTGCTTCAAAATGACCAAGAAGTGCCTCAAAAAAGTAAAAATCTTTGAGTGACCAGTTTTACCATACTTGTTTTCCCCAATAGACTGTAATGTTATGAAAACCGTTAGGAAAACACAAAATTTGATTTTGATTTTCAATAATAAATATCTTGATAATCAGATAGGCGTTCGGTTTGTAAAAGTCATGGGGTTCCTGACTGACCTAAAGGTTTATAATTATCATTGCAGCATGAGCTAAATCCAGGAATTTTTTTTCAGAATCTGACACAAAGATACCTAATCCCTTTAATGGTAATCTATAACCAACTTTTCATTTGGCATTAGTGCCAACTGCAGGCCTGTGATTGTGCCAATCAACAGTCTTGGCAAATTAAATGTTAATCAGTGCATTTACATGTACAAAATCTTGGAAGGATTCAGTTCTTTTTCAAATACAGAATTTGGATCTGTTCAAAATCAGGTCCACGGAGAAGAGCTCAACTTCACTCTTGACTGAGTCTATCATCTCTTTAAACTTCTCAATACCAGCACGTTACTTGGTGCAAATTACAACAGTCTGACCCAGGTTTGTTTTTTTGCCAAATTACCTTGATCTGTTCAAACTCCTGTGCCTGTGAGACCATAGAGAACACCTCAGCCTCACTCATGACCGACTTCATCATCTCGTTGAACTTCTCGATGGTAGCGTGCTTGATGTAGAAGTGGCTCGCGACCCTGCCAAGGTCGGTGGAATGAAGGTCACCGGTGTGCTCCACGAAGCGAATCATCTTGGCCTTGTCCAGGCTGCGGGCCGCTGTAATGATCAGGTCGTTCCTGAACTTGGCCAGGCCTGGATCATTCTAAATGTCAAAATCACATAATAATATAATAATAATAATATTCCGCTTTTTTTATAGCGCCCAATACATCGATACAACAAAGTGTCTAAGCACATTACAGATATATTATTACCCCGGTCTTTGGATTCAGGCTTACCCGCACACAATGTATGCACATTCTCCACTCCCTGGGTGGCATTCCAGCCAGTCGCCAATTTACAAGCGCACACTTGCTCGTCCAACCACATTAACTTTCGCATCCTACCAGGTAGGATAATGGGATTTGTACACGTTTATGCAATGCTCAATGATAGTGTATTCATTGAAGTTAATGATTTACAGAAAATTACATTTTTACAATCTGATTTCAAGTAAATACAGATATACAATTTGATCTCATTTAAACATGTGATGAAGTCCTTGTTATAAATATTCATGTATGATGTTATCTGTGATTTTGTATCTGAATAAAGATTCATTTCAACAACAACAAAAAACAAAAAAGTAGTATCATGGAATGTACATGGAAAAGATGTGTCAACAATTAAGTGTTAATTGAATAGTTACACATAGTTGTATATGTAAACAAATGGTTTTGTTTACACATGTTCTTTAGATGTGTCATTGTAATATGAATACATGTAGCTTCTAACAGCAACACCATAAGATATTACCATAAACAATCTTTCATTTTAGTTTGCTTGTGTCAAGAATATGTCCAATAACAATCTCTTCATTTTCTAAATGAATGTACCTATTTAGTATACACCCTTCATAGATTGCTTTTGCATATTTTTAACAGCCCTAATGTCACATTCAGGAATTGCAAAAAAACAACTTCTCTCTGAATCGTTGGCAATGCAAACACTCCTCCTCTGGTCCTTCTTACCTGTGTGTCTTTGTACATGAGGCCATATGCCATGGGGTTCAGGTGCATTCTCACGTACAGGTAAGTGTAGCTCAGCCATCGTACAGCCTCTTCCACATTGCTCACTGTCCCAAGTGCGATCTAGAGAGGGGTATTAAAAACAATCATCAGTATTGTATCATTTATGTACAAGTAATACAGAGTTTTGGATAAATATACAGAAATTAGGAATAGGTATTCAAAATTAAACTCTACATTAAAAATTAAACTCTACATTCACGTTTCATTCGTTTATAATCAATGCTACCTTATTTACTAAACACAAGGTGTGACCCACTGCATAGCAATGAATTGGCACACAAGTCAACTCTCTGCCAAAATGTGGCAAAGTCCAGACAAGAAATAATCTTCAAGTATTTAATATCCTTACATTGGGACATCAACATCCCAAGATTGGTCTGAACTTTCCTCACTTCTGCCCATAACATTTACAAGGCACAGAGGAGACCATTTGGCTGTATCAGAACTATGGTAAAAGTTGAAGAATTAACTTCACCTAGTTTAGAGATGTATATTTAGTAAAACCATAATAATGATGTCATTTGGTAATTTTTTTAGATGACAGCTATCCATAGGAGTTATTCTTGAAAAATTAATATACAGTCAAACCTGTCTATAGCAACCACCCAAGGGAAGCACAAAAAGTGGCCTTTGTGGACAGGTGGTCTTAGTACACAGGCTCCTTTATTACATGTTTCAATGAGAAACAATTTTCAAGGGAAACCAAAAATGTGGTCTTTGTAGACAGGTTGTCACTAAAGCAGGTTTGACTGTACTAAAAAAAAACTACAAGAATTCTGTTACCTCTGCATTGAGATTATCTGCTAGACTGTTGATGAACTGACTCTCGATGGGGTTCTGCCTCGTGATGAGACTCAGGTAGTGATTGAGCTTAAAAAATTAATATACTAAAAAAACTAGAAGAATTGTGTTTACCTCTGCATTGAGATTATCTGCCAGACTGTTGATGAACTGACTCTCGATGGGGTTCTGCCTTGTGATAAGACTCAGGTAGTGATTGAGTTTCTCATGGCTCGTGATGATGAAACCCTCTCCATAGCTATCATACTGAGGGCGCCCCGCACGTCCAAAGATCTGAAGGACGTCCAGGATTCCCAGGTCCTTGAAGGCACCCTTGTTGGCATCGTAGAGTTGCGTGCCCTGGAGGGAAAAATGTTATAAAAGGAGAAAGATGTACAGTCAAACCTGCTTTAGTGACCACCTGTCTACAAAGACCACATTTTTTGTTTCCCTTGAAAATGGTTTATCATTGAAACATGTACTAAAGGAACCTGTCTACAAAGACCACCTGTCTCCAAAGACCACTTTTTGTGTTTCCCTTGGGTGGTCGCTATAGACAGGTTTGACTGTATTTGTTACTTGGTTATTATTTGTCACGCCCCTAAGCTGACTCCATACCATTGTCAAACTGACAAAAAAAAATTGTTTCGGGATGATGTAACTTTCATTCGGTCTAGTGTTAGTCCCTATGGAGTGACTAACGTACAAATGAAATAAGAAAGATGTATTTGTTACTTGGTTATTATTTTTGACGCCCCTAAACTGACTTCATGCCAATTTCAAACCAACAGATTCTTTTCTTTTCGGGATGTAACTTTTCATTTGGTCTAGTGTCAGTCTCTACGGTATGAATAACGTATAAATGTGCAAGCCCAAGGTATTTTATCCTGATACAGAAACACGAAGTTGCAAACCATCCAGAGACTCTGAATAAATTGCGTTATTTATTAATTAATTATTTCATTACAAATCTTTATTCTCAGTTTTCTTATGAAGACTATAACTAATTTTCTTATAAAATTGAAGATATTTACGGCGTATATATTCATTACTGAATGAACGCCATTAAACATTTACCAAAAACAACAACTTTTATCCTGATACCTTACCAACAACATTACAGATTTTACATTTTGTATACGTAATGATTGTACTAGGTTGTAAGCCTCACTGATTGAACTTTTAGTATTATTTACTGAAATAGAAACTGAACGACAATGTGCAGTAATTTTCAACCCTTTCTTGTTTTAATAATCGGTATATTTTGTGTAATTTCTACCTAGCTTTAAATGAAAAGCAACAGCAGAAAACCACATTAAGGGATTCCTTTCCAAAGAAATATTTTTGTGGAGAGTACCACCATCAATCGCTTCAAATCTGGACTTAAGATCTGGTGGAAAGATGACCCAGATAAATATGATGACAACCAAACCAAATGAAACTATTGATAGGAACAACAGTCTAAAGACTGAATAATCCTGGATCAAGTGAGTTACAAGTGAGTTATACCTTGATGATAACAGCATGAGCAGGTAGATTCACACCCCAGGCCAATGTAGCCGTACAGCATAACACCTTGAGATGACCAGCAGCAAAGAACCTCTCTACCAGGTTCCTGTCCTGCCTCAGCATCCCGGCATGGTGGATGGAGAATCCATCGGGGAAGAGCTCTCGCATCTGCTTGTTCCGAGATTTCATTGTCTAGACAGAGGGGTTTCATATAAAAGATATATGTTATTATTATTATTAAGTATTTGGCAACACCTGTGCCTGGGAATCGGAAAGCGAACTGAATCACTGTAACCCTCAGGTCTCTCCTCCGGGTATAAGTGAACATGGACCACTACAGCTGGTTTCCCCTACTGCGAATAGTGCCGTGGGTTCTTTACGTGCAAGGGTGATGACTCTCCTCTACATGGGGCCTCCATTTAAGGTCCTATCTGAGGGATGGAGTGTTTTCCACTTAACATACTAGCCTGCGTCTATGAAACAGGGGAGGGGCACGTTAACACGTAACGCAGGCTTCAGTCATTAACCTGGGTTGGATTTGAACCCACGATCTTTGGTTTGAAAGGCATACCCTTTACCGACTGAGCCAATTCTCCTCCTCAAATATAAAATCAGAAATTTGAAACATGCTACACTAACAAAAAAGCATCATTATTTGAAAGAAGATTTTGTGGAGACATTTCTTTCACCTATTAAAGTTGGTTGTTAAACATGCTACATGTACCTACCAACTGAAAGATTGCTACTTCTAAAGATCAGCTCCAAAAACCTCTCAAGGCCCATTTCTTTGTTAGAGAACTCAAGTCAAATCAAAATTCTCTTTTATAACTAAAGCAGTAGTCTTTGTTTCACGGCCCATGGTGTGAAGCCCATGGTAAATTCAAGGAAAAGACCCTCCATCAAATTCACGGAATTTGTGATATGGATATAGACATGGACATAATGGATTTTAAAATACCGGTAATAGTCAATGTTTTGGTAATCCAATTTCAAATGCTGATTAGTTGCTCTTAGTTATCACTGCGTGTAATAGGATGCATTCTGTAGATATATTCTGAGGCAGCCTTTATGTTCTGTATGCAAGAGAAATATAGAAATATATAGGGAAATTACACCGATCTCAGACAGACCGAGAGACCACCGCCTCAGTTTCAGTGGTCATTGCTGGAGGAGCAAGAGTGAAATCATTTCACAAACTTTTCAGGGAGCCCTCAAGAGGCAAACGCACCAGAGGGCACCCAGCAATGACTTACATAGACCAGTCAGTAGAAAAAGACATCTGTCTACCAAGGCAGGAATTCCCAAAGATCATGGAGAATAGAACTGATTTGAAAAAGCTTGTCAAATCAGTGCGAGTAGGCTCGTCCTAGTAGTATGCAAGAGAAAATGATTTTCCATTACCTGTTTGAGGGCTGACCCAAATTCTGGTGTCTGCTGAGGTTGGAACATGCCGATCTCCCCGTTACCCTTGGCCGTCTCACGTAGGTACATGGCGGTGTGAACGGTGGCATTCCTGGCGTGTACAAACACCATTACCTGTAACACAAGAGTGATAGAAATGTTGTAGTATCAAAGAGATGGTTGAGTTCTGGGAAGAGGTGAACGATAATTTGTGAGCGTTGTCCTTTGTATTTTGAAAGTGTGGAAGAACATCAGATAAAAAATGTTCCCTGAAAAGCATGGCTTTTGATCTGATCTGATCTGATCGATTCCACCCCATTTCTTTCACAATGCAATCGCATGATCAGAACTCAACTTTATCTTTAAGCACAATATGTATATGTTGCAATCATAGCAGTCTGAACAATGGCATTCCTGGGTTGCACAAACACCATCAACAATGGCAGATAAAGTAACAGAAAGATGAACAGTTTGGATTTGTCGTGAACAAATTAGTAAATAAAATTCTGTTTCTAATGTGTGTACAGACAGTTTCATTTGACAAGAGATTTTTTTTTCTTCAAACGACGGGCATTTCCATCTTTCGACGTTATCTATAATGCGCAAACAAGAGCTAATTTTCTGTGTGTGAATAAACCCATGTGGCTTTGGTGCTACTTCTTTGAAAGGGGTTGTTTCTTAATTAGAAAAAAATTAATGCTATCTATATTTAAATTTTAGATTAGCACTAATATCCTTTGGCAAGATATTGATCTACATTTGCCACTCTCAACCCAGGTGATGTAAATGGGTACCTGGCAGAAGTGAATTCCTTGAAATGCTAGAGCGCCTTGGAATAGAATCTCTAGGTAAAGGGCGCTATATAAATGCCTATCATTATTATTATTATTAAGATACATACCTGATGGCCTCTGTCCACCAACTCTCTCACTTTCTCGTAGCACACATGGTCCATATCTCGCCTCTGCTGCATGATGCTTGGCGTCTTGATCCCGATGAAGGTCTGGCCCAGGGGTACCGGCCTGAACCTGGTGTCGAAGAAGAATAGTCCGATGTAGGGGTTGACGTTGAGGAAGCGCGCCACGTCCACGTAGTTGGGAAGGGTGGCGGAGAGACCTATGATGCGTATCATGCTCTGGGAAGACTCAACCTGTTTGGATTGTGAAAGGAAAACATCTTTATTAAAGCCCCACTGCACTACTTACAGCTACTTGCGCCCTCTATAAAGCAAACAATGCCTAATTGGTGACCATTGTTCCCCCATGGTTCCCTTTTTCTTATGTTAATAATTGAGAGCTCATTTGATGAGATAACCACCCATCAGTGACCATGCAAGGAGGTCTAATCCCTCCTGGCCAGAATAGTGCAGGTAGGCAGGCTTTAAAGGAAACAGTCAAGATTTGAAATTAGATTGAGTATTTGTCCCATTCTGCTGGATACCCCATTATATTGAATCAAGTAAATAATTCAATTCACACACATCAAGTGGCCTTGACTATCAAAGATTCATAAGTTTCTTATTATTGGTCCAATAATGTTCATATTTTTGCTTCAACATGTTTCCTCCATTTTTCTGATAAAAATGTCCATCTATATTTGACATATTGGATTGCCATTGAATGTCTGTATCAGGAATACCAGTTACTTTAATCCAAATAGCCCGAAGAGGTCATTGAAGCCCCATACAAAACCACAAACCCTGAAAACCCTGAAACAGAGATGTACATGTAACAGGGCCTGAAGTCCTGCAAAAGCATGATAACAGGCATCCCTGCTTTAATATATCGATTTCTGAAATGCAGCGGACAAAAGGGACAGGTTTCTTGGGGGCACTTTACCTGTCTCAAGGTGCGAGCGACCAGGCTTTCGATCACAGCCCCACGGTCATCATGAAGGAGATGGACCTCGTCGATGATGAGGAGTTTGACCAGCTGTGTGAGGGCGACATCACCAGTGCTCTTACGTGTGACGACGTCCCACTTCTCTGGAGTGGTCACCAACATCTAGACAAAACAGAAACTTTTTAAATTATCGTCTTCCCTTCTGATCTGTGGTATATTAATTCAGCCTTAGAATAATAATTATGTATGGATGAAAATTAGCAATTTGATTTGTCCTGAAGTAGAAACCAATAAAGATATCTGGGCCCTGTATTGATATCAATCGCAACCTACAGTATGTACATAAGAGATAGGAGATTGCAAACTTGTGATTGATATGAGGACTTGCAATTGATTTGGATCAATCGTAACTTTTTGTAAGACGGGGCCCAGATATATATAGAAAATTTTAACTTTGAAAGATTTAAGATCCTAAATTTGACTCATGAAAGTTCATTTAGTATACATAATTACCCTCTAAGTGCCATAGAAGGGGTAACACATTTCTGAACCGTTGCACTACACCATAGACATAATAGAATGGACTATCGACGAAGCAGTTTCTTTGATCCTATGAGTTCCACCGGCAAGGTTTAAATTTCGCGCCGATGCAAAAACCCAGCGGTGGTCCCACCGCAACCCGACAGCTGGATGCGATCACTTGCGCAATCTTTCATAATCGCAACAGCAAGCTCGCGACTTGGGGTTGTTCGCTGCTCCTTCAAATCGTTGAGAACCTAGTGTTAAATAGTACGAGCGCTCTCCGCCATGCGGTCGTAGCGAACATGTTTTCGTCTTTGTGCCTGACGATATATTATTGTTGTTTTCAGCGTTGTATTTATACTAACAATTATTATTTATTTCGATGTGTGTATTGTTCCATAATACATATTTTTCTCGTACTTATGAGTCATGTTTTGTTTATAAAGTAATTAGAAGGGCAGGATTATCATTAGATGACATAAATAAGGAAGAACTTTATGATTATGATGGGCAGTCCATATATCGACATAGCAGACGACGGAAATGTTGAATATTTTGCAATGGTCAATTCCCAAATTTACGGACACAGATATTTATCCTAATTCCTAGATTCTCAAAAAAAACGTACACATATAGTAGGCCTACATCAAGATAAAATAAGATAAAATCTGAGGGAAGAAAAAAAAAAGCAGTCACTCTCGGATTAACAAGTCCAAAATATAACTTGAAAAAAACATGCACCCGCCGATCTCTATCAATGGGACTACGTGTGCAATTTGGATTAGACAAAGGCACGGCAATTTAGTGGTCATGATGCGAAGAAGTCACGCATTACCACAGATTTTCTGAGCACTCACGAACACAACCCCATTCTTCCAATGCCTATAAAAAAAACGCACGCAAACGCAACAAATAACGAATGATTGTATTCGACAAACGAAGGATTTGTGATCACCACAACGTCGTTGGTTTCACAGAGAAATTAACGGAAACAGGAGAAAAAAATACTTTTTAAACTGTATTTTGTAAGCTCTTGTGGTGACTTTCCTTGCTTATATGATGAGTTTGCTACACACCAACACAAATTCGTAAAAAATCGAAGAAATCACCGATTTCAACGGCTTTTTTTACAGATTGGCGAGCATGAACAGGACGTAAACCTCATGTTTACATCCGGGGCACTATTGACGTAGTATTTAGCTGCGCATGGGCAGAAGGCTCTCCTGTCACGATTCATTCATGAAATGAGAAGCGCAAATCGTGGGAAGCATTGGTCAGTGCGAAGCGACTTGGCCGATAGAGGTCGGCAAAATCCCGGTGGATCTCATAGGACCAAAGGACCCTTATCGGAGCTTATCAAAACATGCCCGCAGCGTTGCGGTCAGACTTAAAACATAGAAGAAAGTAAGACATAAGAACAGGTGGTAGCTATCATTACTTTTACTACTCTTGCCGTCGAAAGTCCATTTGTATTACGTCTATGACTACACACATTTACATCAATAATCAAAATGAGAATCAGATTTGTTGATGTAAATGTGTGTAGTGCATCAGTTCAAACATGTTAAATATCATGCTTTGATATGAATTCACAAAACTTTGGATTGCTTCCTAACATTTCAGGAATACTGTACTTGTCATGTGTGTCATTAAGAGTTGTGACAAAATGCATACATGTAGGTATGTTTTTAACTAAGTTGGAAGCTAACAATGAACTCTCTATTCAAGGCTTCTAATGGAAAACCAGTGTGTTTTCATGATTTAATTCTTAGTGAGTTGCATGTCTCCAGTAAGCTCTTTTACAGACAGACTAATGGGGCGTTGCAAGAAAGTTGTGATTGATATTTGCAATCGATTGCAACTCAACTTTCTTGCAGCGCCCCACTAGTCTCCTAAATTTCTTAGGATTTTGTTAGGATTAAAGTTTTAACAATTAAATTAAGTTAAATAGATCTAGATTTTATTCTCTCTCTCTCTCTCTCTCTCTCTCTCTCTCTCTCTCTCTCTTTTTTACTGAGGCATTGCAAGAATGTTGAGTTGCGATCAATTGCAAATTGGCATTTAATCGTAAGACTTATGCTTGATTTTGGGGATTGGCAATTGATTGCAACTTTCTTGCAACGCCCCATCAGTGGTACAATGCAAGGTGCCATATTAACACATATTTCAATGTTTGTATGTCATTTTTTTTAGTTTTGAAGTTATAGGGTAAACAAACTCTCTCACACTATTGCTACTTGAAATGTTACCTGTGTTTTCATGATTTCATTTTTAGTAAGTTGCATGTCTCCTGTAAGCTCCTTCACAGACAGACCAAGAGGCGCTAGACGGGTTCCAAAGTTCCTCACCATCTCGGCTGCTAGAGCCTTCATGGGAGCCACGTATACAATCTTAAAAAGTATAGAAACAAAAATTGAACATGAACTACCGGTATTCAGATACTGGTAGAAAACCACAATACACAGAGCAAAAGATTCAAGACTAAGTACAGTATAAAGGTCATGTACCAGTATCATTTTATTGTATCAAGACACAGATACAGATTTGAATGTACATGGCCCAAAAATTTAGAAGTTATACACTTTTAACAATTAGCAGATGATAGGAAAATACAGGCTATGCTACTGGAAATGCATGAAAGGAGTTCATAGGAATAATTAGATGAAAATGGAAAACAAACAGAGAAACTACTGTATGTGAAAGAAAGATGGGAATAGAGGGGGTAAGAGAGGGGAAGAGATGGGGGGAGAGGGGAGAAAAAAAGTGAAGAGAGTGTACAAGAAAGAAATATAAAAATAATAATGCTTACTGAAAGAAACTATAAAGATAAACAAAACATTCACTTCTCATTTGTATTATACATGTATGTCAGACTTCTTCGAAGTACAGTGTACATGTATGAGCATTAGTGCAGTTTTAGTACAAATGAATAATCAAAATATATATTTTACCTTGAATTCATCCTTTTTGATGACCCCTTGTTGAATATGTTTCTTGACCTCCTGCAGGATGGTCAGCATGGCAATGTTGGTCTTACCCGCACCAGTAGGGGCACAGATCAGAAGGTTCTCATTGGTGTTGTACGCTGTCTCAAAGACCACTGACTGGATACGGTTTAGGCTCTTCATTCCCTTGAATGCGATGCGCCCAATCTAAGATGAACCAAACAAAGTAAGGAAGAAAAATCAAAGTAAGAGAGGGAAGCCTTCCATAAAGAATGTTAACACTGGTGTTCTAGGTCGTTTAGAAGATACACATATTTTAATACTTTACTACGATTAATAAACTTACTAATTTTCTTTTTTTTAATAAAACTATTTTACTACAAACTGCAGGTTTTAATTGATCATTGGTGTTCCTCAAACTTCTAAAGAAAGCACATGACCACATGTTTTAGGCAAAATGGAAACCATTAAAATGTAATAAAAGAGAATTTTCACATCTCTTGTATTTAGGGTTTCTGAGTGTGTTTCAGGAAGGCAGATGGGGGATGCCATATACACAAGCTAGTGAAATTATGTTAAAGTATAATATTTCAACATGTCTATCTGTTTGAAGATTTGTTCCAAGATTTTTTCGAAGATTTCTTTCAAGATTTGTTCTAAGATATGGTCCAAGTTCTGGTCCAAGATCTAGTCCAAGACACACTATGGTAATTACAGACAAAGTGATGCTTTAACTGTATACTCATCTGTATCATATTTGTATTCTTGTTCCCAGTAGTTTGTTCTTTCTTTCTTTTTCTTTTTCATCATCCTTTGTTACGTGTAGTTTGAGCAGTCCTAAAATGTACTCTTCAAAACTAAGATAACTGTAAACTACAAAGCCTGATACAGGCTTTCCAATAGTTATTTAATTTCATTTCTCACATTTAACAATTTTTTTATTTCTATCCATGACATATTTGTAATGATTAGTATTTGTTTTGTTTATTGATTATATGTTATATTTTCATTTACATATTTTGAAATGAATAAACGAACAAACAAACGCACCTCATCAAGCTGTGATATTGGGATGAGATTCTTCCCCACACCGACAGGGGCTTGGTCTGCTGGGGGTATGATAACCTCTTCATAGAGCTTGGTGGCTGACTTCTGAGCGCCAATTGGTAACATCATCTGTCAAGCAAATAAAAGATTTTTAAAGACACCCAGTAGTTAGCTCCCATGGGGAATTCAACACCATTCGGATGTTTACCCAATAACAGGTGTTGTCAATCACCAGGGTTAGCCTTGAGTTATATGACCATTCGACCTTATGTAATGCTTTGCTTTTCCCTCAACCGATCCGAAGCGGGATCTGAATCTAGACTCTTCGAGAGATAAGGGGGTAATTCTTGACTGGCCAACAGGTTTGCTGTGTGCAAATTTGTACTCCCATTAATGGTTTTCTCACCAAGTCTGGTGTCAGCGAATTATGGCCTTCTGCACATGGAAACTGACGCGTGACTCCCTTTAAATGTTCTCCAATCAATCCAAGCATAAGTGTAACGGTACCTGCATCAGAGCTGAATCGATGTGGATTTGGTAGTAATTGTGAATTTGTAATACAGTGAAACCTGTCTATAAAGACAACCCAAGGGAGACAGGTTCCTTTAGTACATGTTTCAATGAGAAACATTTTCAAGGGAAACAAAAAATGTGGTCTTTGTAGACAGGTGGTCTTTCTATACAGGTGGTCACTTAACCATGTTTGACTGTACCTCCCTCACTGTATACATTTTGACTTGTTCCACGGTAAGAGACTTGTTAGAATTGAGCTAAAGATATTGCTTTACTTTTCAACATTCTGAAACCATCTACCCTGAACGTACACACTATAATAAGTTTTGTTTTTGGGGTGGTGACCACAAAGCAGTATAGCTTCATGAGGTCTACAGGGATAAGTCTTGTCTAAAAGGACTAGATAATATCTAGAGGTATGGGTGCAAAAGTGATCCCTTAACTCTGGATCACCCCGTTTCCAAGACCATCACTTTATCCGAAGTCAGATGAGCATAACAGTCTTCTCAATGCAAAATATATTGCATATTAATTATTTCAATGCAAAGTTATGGATGAGACTGTAGGAAGTTACATGAACTAATTTGTTAACTCCGGTAACAATATTTCATCAAAGATATACACTTCAGGGTTAAATATGATGGTTGGGAATGGGTTTTAGGTTAGATTAATGGTAAGGATTAGGGTAAGGTGCAGTGCTGGGTTTGGGGTTGAGGTTATAAATTTGGTGAACATTAAAGTGACGGGCACCAGAGCCATGTGTCCTAGAACTGTTGTAGAGGTGTTGTGGACGAGTGGATATGTCACCGTACTGTGGATATGTCACCGTACTGTGGATCACAAGGTCCGCGGTTCGAGTCCCCCTGCAGCACTAATGTCCTTTGGCAAGACATTGATCTACATTTGCCACTCTCCACCCAGGTGTTAAATGGGTACCCGGTAGGATGCGAAAGCTAATGTGTTTAGATTAGCAAGTGTGCGCATGTAAAAATGACGCCTGGCTGGAATGCTCCCCAGGGAGTGGAGAATGTGCATACATTGTGTGCGGGTAAGCCTGAATCCGATGACCGGGGTAATAATATCTATATCTGTAAAGCGCTTTGAGAGGGCCTCCGGTTCTGAAAAGTGCTATATAAGATCTAGCTGGTATAATTATTATTATTAACTGATTTTTACCTTGGCACCTGCTATGAACGATGAGGACAACTGTGCTGTAGCAAGAGAGTCGTAGACGTTAGGATAGAACTCCTTGGGTGCGCCGCTGGATCGTTCTAGCCCCAGCTTGGAGGTGAAGAGAGGGGTGCGTTTGGCATTTTTCAACGCCTTTTCTCTGATAGTTGGAGGGAAAAAACGATATTAACATTAAAGGTAATACAAAGTTTTGGGAATATTTGAAAATTGGGTGGTGGTGATTCTTTTCAATTTTTATATATTTGGATACCCCTGTGGATGTTATATAAGCACTAGAAAAATTAGCCTCTCAAACACTTCTGCTTTCAAGAAAAATTGAATATAAAAATTTACCGGTGCTCCCGGTAAATTCTGATATATTTCAAATAGTGCCGTACGGCCGTACAATGGTAGATGCGACCATGAACATTTCAGAATATGTAGTTGTGATATATAATTTCCAAACGGGAATAGCTATTCGGTCGATATTAGTCAAGAAACATTGTTTTATAGCTTAATTAATATCTTGACCTTGAGAGGGAGCTATACAACATAAAGAGTTTATTATTTATAATTTCATAACTTTAGATTCGATTTCAACCGCGACTACGCTCACTGGATATTGTAGGGTCACATATGCTTCCAATATGTTCATTTGAACCAAATACATGACCCCATACCAAAACTTTGTATTACCTTTAAGGCCACATACAAGCTTTGAACACTTAAAGCCCCACTGTTCTACTTGTACAGTGTAGCTACTTGCTCTTTCTATATAGAAAACAATGCCTAATCGGTGACCATTGGTCCCCCATAATCCTCTTTTTCTTATGTTAATTGAGAGCTGAGTTGATGAGATAGCCACCTGTCGTTGACCACACTGTGTGGTCTAATCCCTCCTGGCTCAACTAGTACAGCCGGCCTTTAAATAATTATCTTCAAAATAATCATGATGAGTTTTATCATACATTTTGACGCTACTGCTACAAATATCTTCATAACTGAAAATTGGAAGTATGAATAATGGTGTGTAGTATGTACTCGTTAAATCAATGTTAAATAATTTTCATTAATTCTGTAATAAACTGTCACTATTAATTGTACAACCTTTTTCTCAACAGATTTAGCAATTCATAAACAATGTAATTCCCTCACTGTGTCAACAATTTTTCCAGTTTTCAAAGGTATAGGACATCCCGTTCATAACAACACTTTTTAATCAAAGTCCTCTTTGCACTAGAGTTCGAGTGGATTGTAGAGCATGGTACATAAAACAATTCTGTTGCCAAATCAGTCATACCTCTGTGCCTTTAGGTATTGAGGATCAAACGCTTCATCGCTTCCTCCTCCTCCTTCTTCTCCTCCTCCACCTGAAGATTTGGCTTCTTTCTTAAGTATTTTCTTTTCTTCTTTCCTCAGGGCTTTCTCCAGCTCTTTATCCCTCTCCGACTGGATTGTGACTTGGGTGGCATAGGAAGGCTTCTGATTGCCATGCCTCTCTCTACGACTATCTGTTCAAACACAACAAAATGACAAACATAAGCCCACAGTGTATTAAATATAGCTAGAGTCTCTTTTGTGGTGGGCAGGACTTCACTGACGCCATTTAAATCCCAAATCCTGACCTCTGCAACATCGCGAACGCAAGCTATAAGCACCAAACACTTGCGTACTAAAACAAGTTCGGCTCAAATCCAATTTATAAAAAAATTAATATTTATTTGTAACAATATCGGACAAATTTTACAATATCAATGATGACATAAATATACATTATAGTATTTTGATACTTATTTACCTTAGCTATAACCCTATAAGCCCATATTCCTTGAAGCTGTCCTAGATAAATCCAACAGACTTGAACCTAAAATCTTCTCTTTCGTTTTTAATCTTTGTTCAAATTGTAATTGATTTGTGGAAGTGCAAAATAAATAATAACAATATCAGGTCAATATTTGCTTTTTCCTGAGTTATATCAATAACAGCAAGTATCAAATGTTTTTCAACCTTCCAGTCTAATTCAATAAAACGGCATCTTTCACCTAAATAGAGGTGTTGTGGTCTTGTGGAGAAGTCTCCAGTCTGTAAACAACAAGGTACAGAGTTTGGATCCCTGCTGCAGAACCAGCGTCCTTTGGTCAGACATTAATCTACATTTTTCCATACTGCACCAGGGGCCCCGTCTTACAAAGAGTTGATATCAATCACAACTTATTAGCGATTGATTTCAAGTGCAACTTTGTACATAAAAGATAGGAAACTGCAAACTTGCGATTGATTGGAGGACTTGCGTTTGATTCGGATCAATCTCAACTCTTGTAAGACACGGCCCAGGTGATGTATTCAAGTGGCTAGGATTATTCCTTGAAATGAACCGTAGACTGGTAGGGGTTGCTCGAGCTACAGCTAGAGTAAAATTATCCATGAGCTCTTTAGAAGCACATAAGGGAGTTATATGCACTGTACAAGAACGAAATATTATTATAATTTTTAAAATTATTACCATTATATAATAATAATACATATATTTCTATATTACTGTACCTGCAGCTATCCTGGCCATGCTGGCCTGTGTGGCTGCTGCTACAAGATCAGTTCTCCTGGCAAGGAGCTGCTGTATCAGCTCAAAACAGTCAAACCCTAACAAGTCAAACAACTGGAAGAAGAAGGAGAAATCATTTCAGTGTAAATCTAAAATCGTTTGATAACATGATACATAGGTTTGTTTTATTTTAGTCAACTAAACTCCTGTATGAAATATTGGCTTATCAAGATGTGGTTTTAAAAAATAGCCTTTCTTCTGCCTTACATTTCAATATCAACATAATTTTTTTGTCAATACTTTTCAATTGTGAAATTGGTTACCGAGCCTGAGATAGACACGGGCTGGGGTCATACATGTATATGAAAATGTACATGTATATTACGCCACAAACTATTGTAGTATTCAAGAGGTTAAATCTGGTCAATGCATCAGGGCACAAAGGCTCGTGAGTCCACTTTCTTCTTGAATATCTGTAAAAATGTCGTAAATGTACACTCACATCCGTCTGGAGTTCATCATTCGTCTTGCCAGAGGTCAATTCCACCAGAAGCTTGCTGCACAAGCCATCCACTGTCAGACCGATTGCACTGTGTCCTTCACTTCCTACCGACTTCTTCACCTCCTTCTCCAGCCACTCCATCTGGGCATTAGGCTGTAATCCTTTGGTCCCTTCCCCATCCTTGGGACTAGGTTCGCTCGCCTTAAGAGACACAGCTGCATTGTTCAAGCTGAACTGGACGTTGAGCGCCGGAGACGGAGGGCGAGGCTCCGGGTCAGCACTCAAGAAGTGATCTGTGTCTATGGCTCTCTCGTCGAACGAGAACCCATAGCCATGACCAAATTCCTTGGCATTTTCCTCCTCCTCAGATGTGCTAGGATTGAACAGCGCCCTCAGGACCTCTCCAGGGACGTGGGAAACGAGGACCTGGATCTCATGCTGGATCTTCACCAGGAGATCTTGTTGGCATGTGCCGAGTTTGGAGCGCACTGCCTGTATTTCATACTGTCCCAGTGACTCAGACTCGTATAGGATCTCACAGAAGCATACTGCTGTTGCCGATACTTCCTCAGGACTCGCATCTGCTCCAGCTGGAAAAAGATGTATGATGCAGAATAAAAAGATATTAGAAGAATGATACTAAATCACCATTATCCTTCAGCCCATTAATAATTTTGCCACAAGTCGTTTTTGCATCGATCTAAAACCATACAATTTATACGAAATTATAATTAAAAATAAGATAAACATTAGAATAAATGTTCATTTTGTTTAATTATACTGTAATTTCAATAAACTTTGGCCTTTGACTTGCAGTGAAATCTAGTACATTGTAATGCAGTTTCCTAAGTACCGGTAATACAACATTTCATTCTAGTCCATGTGAACATGCAGTTCTTGAGTTATCATGAAAACAAGAAGAGACTGTGTAATAAACATACATGTATACATAAATTGACCTTCTCAACTGTTTGCATGTTACATGTATGTTCTACAGTATTGTCTTTTATTTTTTTTAATATTTCGAGCCACAAAATCACTTGATATTTACCAACACTCCTTGCAAGCTGAATAACATTTCGCGATGTTCCGGTGACCTCACTTTTGTTAGCTGATGTATGATGCAAGATGGCTTCACCAAGCTCTCTCCAAGTCAGACCTGTGTATAATCACCAAAATAGATTTAATAATGGGCTATAATAATATGATCTTCTGTGAATTATTATTCCATCACATGTCAAAGTATTGGAGTAAATCTATTTAACAAAAATGTGAAACGACACATATTCCTTTTTTATAACAAACCGTGTCAATTTACCAACAATACGTCAAAGTTGTGATGCTACAATAGGATTTTGCAAAGAGGAAACCAATTTTTATATATATTCTTGTATCGTTGTTGTATCATGTACCGGTATGCCATGTTCGAGGAGTAGATCTGAAATAACATCACTTTTTTCATAACGCTCACAAATTATTTTTCACCTCTTCCCAGAACTCAACCTTCTCTTCAAACATGAAGTGCCTTTATGAATTTTGCAACTCTTTTAATGTGGGACAGGGTTGTTATATCAAATTACTAATTAAATGTCGCCTTATTCCTACAAAACAATTTGTGTTTTTTAAATTTGATGTCCATGTAGCGAAACAATATTTGTCGAAGTTAGAATAATGGCAACAGCCCAGCTGGACATGTTGGCGGTCATCAAGCTATACCCATGCCTATCTATGAGACGGACTCAGTTATTCAGCAGAATGAAAACAAAGAATGGGCTACTTTACCATGAAATTATAGAAAGATCCTCGTAAGTAAAATGATAAAATAAGTCAAGTAAGGTCAGCTTCTGTCAACTAGTTAGAATCCAAATATGCATAAAACTTTTTTTTTCCCACATCCAGTCTGACAAAAGAGTGGCCTTTGAAATAAAGGCTTAAATCCCCACTGCATACTTGCGCCCTCTAAACAACCAACAATGCCTATTAAGGCGGTACCTGTCGGTCCCCCATGATGCACTATTTGTTATGTTAATCAAGAGCTGATTTGATAAGATAACCACCTGCCAGTGACCTTGCAGGGAGGTCTAATCCCTCCATGCCAAACTAGTGCAGACGGGCTTAAGACTATCTATCAAAATTCCAGGAGACACACCGTTTTTTCTACATTAGCCCAACGATTTCTTCCATCTGTTTTTATATAACAAGTTACAAATTATAAGCACCTTGTTTTGCTTTCCTTTGTGACTGATAAATCCGTTTCTGAGCAAGGCTGATCTCTCCTCCATCTGGGACTTCATCACCTGCAGTCACAGAAGCGAACACTCTCACAGCCTTGGTCAGCCTGGGTAGAGACTTCATGATGTCTTCAAACCTTACCAGAGTGATGGGTGACTAAGAAAGCTCCTTTGATCCGATGCACTTACATTGCAACGCACTGTCAAGTATCTGCCAGTAAAGAAGCAAAATTTGATGCATTTTAAAATAAATCTTCAAGATGTACACTTTTCAATGGTCATGCACAGAATATGGGAAATAAGATCTAGACTCCATCTGCGTATATTTTTTTCATTATGAATGTTGAGGAAATCCAAGGCCGACAATATGTTGTTTTTATATACACACAGTGACACGGAGTGGGAAATTGGAATCAAAGATCAGATAAAGTTTCAGAGGTAGAGACGAATGGGGCACCCCCCCCCCCCAACTCCTCAACCAAGAAGAGAAGGAAGAAAATGGGCTGATGCCTGGGGGCCGTTTCTCGAAACCGTCATAACTACAAGATCAACGACATCTCGCCACTGTCACGCAACTTGTCAGCTAAGTGTTTCACGAAGCCGTCTTTGCCAAGATGAGCGACAACTTCCGCGACAAGCGAGTTGTCACTGCTCCGAACCTGTCATATCTTTTTAATTGCTGTAAAGCGCCATCACAAGTCAGTTTGTTGCCATTCCATGGGCCGCAAAATGGACGATTATTTTCACTATCATTTTGAGAAAAATATAGACGAGTTCGGTACGTAATTCTCTGGGATGCGAAATGCAAATGTACAAAAGTGAGAATACAAATTATACAGAAACTTTAAAAAGCTGAATATAAACATTAAATCACAAATCATTAAACTATAACATATAAATAAGAGAGGTAAGAATGTTACACACCGTTTTCCATAGTCGATCTATAGTCTTTTCTTAGGATACCGTCATACCTTTGGGGCCTATGTGCATTATTATTCCCTCTCTAATTACTTCTTCCAAATTATATTTTCAATATCAAATCAATTATATAACGAGTATTTATGAGACTCTAGAATAAAAACTGGCTGAGAAAAGACATTTTGCCTAAAATTCTTCGTCACAATAAACAAAAAAGTACGTATTGATAAACTATCACATTACGGTATCCTTCAACTAACTTTTGATTCGACTGTCAAAAAAAAACACTCACCGGTTTTTCTTCAATTTAAGAATCTTTACAGAAATATGCAAATTGTTTGATGATGTAAATATGATAATGACACTATTTATTATTTATTTTAGGAGAATTTATATGTATATATTTCTTTTTGAACAATTTTAGCCCCAAAACTTGTTTTGGATTATTCTTGATAAATTAAATGGATCCTGACAAAGACTATGTTCTTGAGCTGCTAGTATCGCGATATATCGATATCATGTCTGTCATGGCTTTGTGAAACGGTTTATCCGCTTCATGACATCTCCGTAGGTCGCCGACAAAGATATGACTGTCATGGAGTTGGTTTCGAAAAACGGCCCCCTGATGACCTTATTGTTTCTTTCCCTTAATCCTTGTTTTTTTCTTTCTTCTTTGTCAGATAATTGATAGCCCAAACAGCACATAAAAACCCATGACTTTCTTTTAAAAAGCGTTTTTGGACATGTGCCCCACACCCTGCCCCTCCCACCTGCACCTAGTCTGGATCCACCACATGCACTGCATGACAGTTGACACCATCATTTTTGTCAGATTAGACTTCGGTCCAACTTCCAAATCAATTCAAGTCAAAGTCCAATAAATAGACCTAGAAGTAGGACTGAGGGCGAGAAAGCCCCTGGAAAAATAAAATTTGAATAAATTTGATTAGATGATTTTCATCTTTGCAAATGCATAGTCTACATTTTAACCCATATCTCACCCTTTGGCCCAAAGCCCCCCCCCCCCCCACAAAAAAATGGTGTTCAGCAACATTGACATGTCATTGGCATTGCATTGTCACGATTGTCTTGGGTTTGGTAATTAATCATTCATGCCATGATCAGTAGGGGCGCTGGTCCGAGAATAAGGATCGTCTTCATAAACGAGGATCGTCTTCTTTTACACTGACCGATGCGTCCTCAAAAATAAGGACCGTCTGCAATTTACATTGACTTTGTACAGAGACCTTCACATTAGGAGCAATAAATCCTTGGGAAGACGGACAACCCATAAAAGTAGACGGACAACTAGGGTTATTTTCCCCCGGGGAATCCATTTTTGGCATCGCCAGCGGGCCGTTCTGTAACATGAAACCCCCAGAGCGCCGATGAAAAAAAACGTCCTCGAAAATGCAGACGACCCTTATTTTTGAGGACACATTTTGTCTTCGTTTATGAGGATATCCTTGTTTATGAGGACGATCCTCATTCTCGGACCAGCGCCCCTACTGATGATCATCATTCATGATGGTAATTTGAGTATTGGCAGTGCTTTTAGTTTTAATTTGTTTGACTTTTTGAGTTCTTATTCAGTGTTCAGAGAAATCAAATACTCGGGAAACATATATATATAGATAAGGGGTAAGCCACAACAAACATGCACGGGCAATTTTGAGACGCGCCGTAGCCGTGCTGCATTGCTGGCAGCTGCAGCTCACAATGCACACGATCACGACCCGTGAAGCATTCACCACCAGTACACTCTCAAGATAGATCCCCAGGCCCTTAGGCCTGGCGAAGATACATTTCAGTTTCCGTTCCGTGCGTCAACTCATAATCAAATTTACCGAAGAGCGCGACGAGCGAGGCCATAAATGTAATACCTTCCTCTTGTAAAACGTGAATAGGTCCGTGCAGATTAAATTACTAAAACTATTCAAGCACACATGGTACTAAAATAATATATTTTACTTCACAGAAATTATTAAATTGAATTATTATAAACAAGTTCCTCGTAGCTATTTCATCTTACCTCCATCCATGGATCCACTATACGGTGTCTTGGAATTTCCCACGATTGTGCAATTTTCTATACAGTCCATATCCCCCCCCCCCCCCCCCCCCCCCCTCCAAAAAAAAAAAAAAACCCACCTAGATCTACAACTTCTTTTGTTGGGTTTCTTTGATTACCGGGTACTATCTATGAAGAAAAAAAATATCTAATATTTTGACTGGGGGGGGGGGGTTGGGTTATGCAAATATAATTTACATTTTAGTTTTTTTACGATTATAATTTTAGTGTTTTTGATAGAAAAGATCATACAACTCGTGTAAAAAAAAAAATAGCTTTTAAGAATTTTGTTAACAAACCCAACTACAAGTTCGATCACAAACAAACTTTTTTTTGTATTATTTCTTTTTTAGCATAAATTATGGATATGTGGTTTGAATTCAAATTTCATCTTTATGAAAGTGTTGAATAAATTCAATTAATTTCTTTTTAAAAAAATATATTGTTCCTGCTTCCTATCACTGCCACTCCCAACCCTTCCTTTCTCTCTCCCTCTCTCTCTCTCTCTCTCCCTCTCTCTCTCTCTCTCTCTCTCTCTCTCTCTCTCTCTCTCTCTCTCTCTCTCTCTCTCTTTTTCTTTCTCTTTCTCATGAATCAAGTTTATTGATGACCATACAATGGTATGTCACATTGCCAAATACAGAGCAATATAATGGGAAATATTTCACACACTACTCTTGTTATCAAATGACTTGCATGTATGATTTATTGTCATAATTCATCTAAAATACACATGGAAAAATGAAAAGCTTACAGCCATCAAATATATCAATTTACACGATAGAAGGATCCTACCATTCATGTATGGCATGGTTACTTACAACAGGAGGACAGTTACTAGTAGTTCTTGCTATAAAGAACCTTTATAACAAACTCTCATTACAACAAGGTAAATATGCCAGCCCAGGTCTTTTTCCAATTGTTTTGTAGCCTTGATATAATACAGGCTTCAACATAAAGAGGTGATTTTCTTGGTCCAGAGGCGTTTGATATTACAAGATTCTACTGTACATATTAAGAAACCACTCCAGACTTTCCTCTTAAACATGTTACCGGTACTCCACTGCATTTATGCAATCAACTAACACTACAATGCTCTTTGAAGAAGTGTTGTACAGAGGAAACAAGATGAGCTCAACATAGGTGCAATTACCGCAATAAATATCGTTCCTACTCCTCACATTTTTCACACTGTATGCCAGCATACTACATTTTTCAGGGATTGAATAACATTACACATGAATAATGAACCTGGATCAGGCTCTCTTATTATAATAGAGAATGACATGAATTGACCTAAATGTTGTGTCTCTCAGGGATACTGCCAGCCCTTCCAAGTTTCTCAATTGGGGGGGGGGGGGTGTCCATTTCGACCCCACTGGATCTGCCTTTGTTAAATAGATATTTCATAAACCAAACAGAAGTATGCTATAGGTTTTATGTCAATTGGAGGATAAATGTTATTTCAAACACACACTAATTCTCTCTCTACATCTGTTAAGCAACATTTCGTGACTGTTTTCCGATTGAAGAACCATGTCTTCATATGAAAATGATTGTCAGGTATTAGTTTGTGGCCCATTGTACTGCATTTTGCTCATTAAGTACACAAAATTCAACATAATACATGTATGTACAGAGCATTAAACTGTGGCATGGGGGGGAGCAAAAGAACTGTGGGTAACAAAAGTTCTCTGATTGGACAGAAATGTGAAACTCATTATGTTCATCTTGTCCCTGTAGTTTACTCCAGCATTATGGAAACAATTATCATATGTACTCATTAATTTAGGGATCACATAATTTCTTTGTTTACTTTCTTGAAAAATGCCAGGAAACAGTGTTCACCTTGTACAAATGATGTAACACAGCCAACTGCATACAGTGTTCACATGATAAAAACACAATATCTAATTCCAACATAACCCATAATCCCCTGTCAAATCAAAGAGGGAAACATCAATTCTATAGAGACTCTAGAACATGTCCACTAGACTCTTCAGATTGGAGTATTACATTTTCAGAGAACTGTAATTTACACATTATATTAGTGTGCCAAATGTTGTAAAGTCCACACAAAACTTCAATTCTAATAAAGCAAAAATCATATTACTGCACTATTCATTTAATTAAATACTAAAAAAGGGTAGTTCCTGACATGACTAACGTCTTTTTCCTCATTCATTTTCCTGTACAGTTTAAAAGCCCTGTAATGGTGATGAATTAAACATGAAGCTGACATAGCGCTGCTATTGAGCCTGAGAGTCTCTGTTTTGAGGATGAAATATCTTTGGGGGAAATTCTGATCCGGAAAATAGCCAGCGATACTGTCTCTTCTTGTTCATCATGTTCCAATTATAGAGGAAATATCATGAAGCACATTCAAATGTATGATGTAATGCGCTACATAAATGCTACATACAGGTATAATTACCATACAGTGGCAGGTAAACATTCAAATTCACATCTTCCATCCTCTCTTCTTGTTGGTCATGTTCCAATGGTAGAAATAATATCATAAAGTGACGTACTCCAGAAGAGTGGAAACAACAGAGATTGCATGCGACAGATTAAGGAAAACTTGCGCAAATTATCTTCAGTGATTGACCTGCCAACTAAGATGTGGGCTGTGGTCCCAGTAATATAAACCACAATCATATTTTATTCAACAAGTTGCAATGTTGATACTCCTGTTCCAGGTAAGGCCCAAACGCGTGGGAATATTGTGGAAACCCACAACACCGTTCAAGGAAAAATGTCACTTCAATAGTGTCTTGGTTGGTTTTGGTTGTGACCCTGATGGTGCTGCTGTTGTTGTTGTTGCTGCTGTTGTTGTTGATGTTGCTGTTGTTGTTGATGATGTTGCTGATGGTGTTGTTGTTGCTGCTGCTGTTGCTGTTGCTGCTGGTGATGGTGGTGTTGACCATGTTGCATCTTGTTGGAGTGATGCGATCCAGAAGAGGAGTACATCATGCCCTGTTGAGGCTTGTTGTTTTGAGATTGACCCTGCGTTGTGTTAGCCCCCTGGTAGCCAGACATTCTCTGCAAAGATAGAACATTTGAATTTGAAAATCTCCTGTTAAACATATTAAAGTAATCATATCGAGGGGTCAGTGACACAAACACGTAACTCCATTTTGGCCATTTTGAGAAAAAGTGGTTTATTTGTCACTGAGCACTTGGGCCTTCAGGAGTTAAGTCTATGTTTCACTAACCATTGACTTCAATGAGGTGTTGGGTGGAGTAAGTCTTTGTGTTTCCTGGAAAGCCGACATTTTTCAGAACATTTTGATATCAAATACTCATTTTGGCAAAATATGGAGTTACGTCTTTGTGTCACTGAACCCTCGATATAATCCTTTTGAATATTCATTTTTGTCATAGTTCTACTTTTGAAGAAACACCGTTTATAGTTGATAAGGGCACACCCCTTTCCCTAACTAAATGGTGGAGGGGTGGGAAAGAAAGGGAGAGAACGTACACTTTAAGAACATGGCACTACTATTCCCCCTATCATTCTACAACCCAAAATAACTAGACACAAACTATACTACTATCAATGCACACCTGTTGCTGCTGGTATTCCTGAGGCATTATCCCTGCCTGAGCTCCCCCATGGCTGGAGGAATTGGTGGTTGCTACTCTCAACCGCTTCGCTCCTTGGGCGTGGCTCGAGGATCCTCCGGTCTGTGAGAGATACAAGGTAGGGTTTCAAGAAAGGAGGAATAGAGGACCAGAGAGAGAGAGAGTGATGGAGACATGGAGGTAGAGGGGAGGCAGGGAGGAAGAGGGGAGAGAGGGAGGAAGAGGGGGAGAGAGTGAGAAACGGAGAGAGAGAAAGGGAGATAGAGAAAGGGAGATAGAGAGAGAGAGAGAGAGAGAGAAAGGGAGAGAGAGAGAGAGAGAGAGAGAGATTGAAAGTGTAAACCTAACACTTCTCACATTTCCACTATCCAATATGAAATATGCATTGATTTTCACACATTGGCAAAAAACACCATGTTTGTGGTGGCAGTGCAAAGAATAGCGTGAAATAGAGCAATGAGCAAATTAAAATAAGTTTTGAAGAATTTTTCATCAAATTATGTACCTCAATGTATCGAAATGGTCGCATATAAAAACGAAACATCTTACATGAACCTGTTGGCAAATAAAATCTTAATAGACGCATTCAGTGTTTTCAATTAAAGCAGAAATCACCTTTAAATTTTTTTTAATTTGTTAGCTTTTTCTACTCTAAGTGAAATGAGCAACATGCATTGCTTCAGAAAGAGCTCATTTTAAGGATGTTTCCCAAGTCGAAATCTTTTTGAAAGCAAATACATCAAGAATCTGTTTGCCGTTCAGGAGATAGTATACAAATATTGACGGATTTGAGGAAGAAGGGTTAAAACAATTGTGTGAAATAATCTAGTAGTCTAAAGATTATTTAGGGGGTATAAATTAACTATGACCTGAAAAATAAGCAGTAAAATATTGGTTTGTAATAACCCATCTCTCGGGCTCTTAATAATCATATTTAGATGGACATAGATGTATTTATATGTAGGGATATTTACTTACTTTATGTATTGCACAAATGTCTTACTGTGCATATCCAAAATTAACTTCATGCACATTTATTGCATCCTAGCAAAGCAGGCTTGTGACCGGGCAATATTTTCTGCTTTACTGTCCAGTCAATAGTCCATAAATAATTTCATGCCTGCAATTTTAGACCCATCAGAGGCCTAGAATCTTGAGAAGCAGGATAGAAGAATAATTATTCAATGATTGCATCCCCAAGGTTTAAACCGACCCTAGTTCCACCTACACTTCCTTGCTGTGAGGTAGAGCCAGCCATTGATGTAGCTACACGCTGTCGCCGGGCATCGACCATGTGGCTTGAGTTGCGACTGGAGGACGATTTCTGCAGATGAGAGAGGGATGGGGGTGGGGGTGAACATCGGGGAGGAGGGAAAAAGTGCATAAAGTAATAACGGGTTCCAGCGAGATGTGTGCAAACAATCTAAAGGATGAAGGAATTATATTTTAAAAGTTATAAATAAATGGAGCAGGAAGTGTTCAGGTGAAAACATAATATGATCACAATGATTATATCACAGGGATTTTAGCATAGCCAAAACAATAAGGTCAACATCATGACACTGCAAACTGTTTGTACTCGCAGGGAGTGAATGACGATGTTTGACAACACATTAGTGTCTTAAGGGATATAGAACAAAGTTCACCGGTGCATGTCTGCTACTTAAACTATAGGCGACTTCGTCTGAGGTCTACTAGTTGTGCGGCACATGCTCCTCCAACAATTGCTCATTGGACGATATCCTGCACTAAACAAATTCTTAACTTTAAATCTGAACTAAACAGCTTCATGTGACCATGATAGTTACCTTAAACCTACCTTAAAACCCAGTTGAAACACTAACCCTAATCCTTTATCTTTGACAAATTAAAGCCAGGAGCAAATGTCTACAAAGCAAACATCTGAGCACCAGTCTAACTTTAGTTAAGCACTAGTTTGGCCAGGAGGGATTAGAGCTCCCTGCGTGGTCACTGACAGGTGTTTATCTAATCAAATCAGCTCTCGATTAACAAAAGAAAAGGAGGATCATGGGGGACCAACGGGTACCGCTTTTAGGCATTGTTTGCTATATAGAGGGCGCAAGTAGCTACAAGTAGTGCAGTCCCACTTAAAACCCAACATCTACCAAGCTCACGGTGAATCAATACCCGAGAATGCAGGCCTTGTAGTGCTGTAGCTCAGAACCAGAACCAGTCTCAAATTCACCAGACTGAAGGTTTTCAGCTGAACCAAACACAAACCTGACTTAAACATGAACCATGTAAACTCAATAGCAGTGGTCTGGTATAAAAAAAATAGTAAAAAAAGATCATCATCATTTGTCTCTATTATTACCTCAGAAAAACTATTTTTCTAATATATTTGTATGCCCACATTTCTGCCTTGATCACTGCGTTACATTCATAGCACTCTGAAGAGAAGCACAGACATTTGTAGGTTTTGATGATGTATTCGCATTTTTGGTCCTGTGTGAGAAGTTACCGGACCTGTCCAGAACCTGGTAAGGAGTTTTAGAAGTTAATGAGCCAGAGTAGATCAGGATTCAGGCCTTGCAAGCTACAGCACTATTATAAGGCTCCTTCATTTAGGGTCAAGGGTACACAATATACATGTACTTTGAACATTTTGTTGTGCAAAGATATGAAAACTTAAATAAATCAATGATGTTGGTAAAGTATGCAATACTCCCATATTTGACTAATTCCTATGTGTAGTCCATTACTTTCACGACCCCAGTTCCAAATATAGAGAAAAGCCCAGAATAAACATAAAGAATCCTTTATTTTCCCTCTTTTTTTCAAAAAAGATGATATATTACATATGTGCACATGAAGAGAGCATTGCAATTCTTTTGATGTGTTAGCAAAACATGCAACGTGAGCGGTTTGCAAGCTAAAAGGAGACCACTACTTTTGGTTACTTGTGGTTACAAAGAATTAAAAATAAAGAAGAAAAAAATATGCATTGAATAATCATGCATAAAAATAAAAGAAGCATTGCATGCTACATGTATAATCAGACATTAGTGCATAACAAATACACAAAACACTTGACATTCTGAACATCTAGTGTTCTTCTGAACAATTCTCTGAACATTCAAGAAAGTATAATGACAATTGGCCTTCAGGTACAAGGATTCACAACTAAATGTACATGTATCTATACAAATCGATGCATAGAAATTATATTCATTCGTACCATCACAACAGGGAAATAACATGTATTTTCAATTTGGTGATAAAAAAATACACACTGTTTGCAGCTGTGATGGAAACAAATTAAAAGTGATATATTGCAAAACATAGAGATTTTTTTTTTTTAAACGCAACATATATTGTTGGTATGGCTAACCTATGTCAAAATGTTTTTAAAAAATGTAGTGGGTAACTCACATGCTGATACACATATTAACTGTCACAATGTAAGACAACTAGAGACAAATTGTAAAGCAAATAAGCATTACATTTTATTTAATAGATAAAATGTTACCTTATTATTGTCTGACTTGTCATCATTGTCATCATCTGTAAGAAACTCTCTCTTGGGGTACGGGATCGGCTTCCCATCAAAGACACTGAGGAAAGTTAGGGAGAAATGAAAACAATCAAATTAAAATTAATTACAGTTCTATTTGGGTATGCATTTGCAATATTTTCTTCTCCATAATCTCCATAATCCCATCTTTCACAAAGTGGTAAGCAACAACATATAATATCTTATGAGAGGTAAATCAACTTCATCATCATCGTCATTATTTATTAATGTCAGCATAATCCCTCATATGAGGGGTTGCTGACTTTCACGCCATCATGACACTCCCTCCCTGCATCTGCCTGTCCAACCATAGATTGTGGGTTCAAATCCAATCCAGGCAGACGACTGAAGTATGCATTGTGTGTTAATGTGCCCATGCACCGTTTCAAAGATGCAGGATATGTTACAGTGGAAAACACTATGTCCCTCAGATAGGATGTTAAAAGGAGGTCTAGTGTAGAGGAGAGTCACCGTCTTTGGACTTTAAGAACCCACTGTGCGATTCATATAGGAGTAGGGGGAAACCCTGGTTTAGTGGTCCACCTGCACATCCCCAATCATTTATACCAGGAGGCGAGACCCAATGATTACAGGGATTCAGTTTGCTTTTCCTCTACTAGGCACACATGGCGCCAAATACGTAATAATAATAATAGCTCACATTTATAATGCGCCTAATACTTTGTTTCTAGGCACAGCACATATTATTACCCCGGTCATCAGATTCATGCTTACCCACTACACAATGTACACACATTTTCCACTCCCTGGGGAGCATTCCAGCCAGTCACCATTTTACAAGCGCCACTTGCTAATCCAACCACATTAACGTTCGCATCCTACCTGGGTACCCATTTAAAACCTGGGTGGAGAGTGGCAAATGTAGATCAATGTCTTGCCAAAGGACATTAGTGCCGCGGCGGGACTTGAACCGCGGACCTTGTGATCCACAGTCTGGTGACATATTCACTCGACCACGACACCTCTAATACCAATAATACTTAATAACGAGCCTTGACAAGGTAATGTGTCACTATACATACTCTGCTGTGTGTTGAGGTTGTTCTTTGAAGTACTGGTCCTCCATGGCTTGTTCTGAAGTCATCCTCTTTGTAGGATCCATGGTAAGAAGCTTAGATAACTGCATATTAAAGGGAAACATCAGTTCTACAAGAGCCCCCAAATAGCCAGTGTGAGCATTTTATGTCAGCTAATTGCACGTAAATTTAGAAAAAGTTTAACTTGTATTGTTGTATTGTTTTATACTGGCATACCAAATACAAGCCTATACTTAATGGGCTTTACGCCTCATTCTTTATCTTATTATTGCCATCAATCAACATAACTTGTATGTTGTTATGTTACTATGAAGAAAGAAATGGAACATTTTTTGGATGTTTCTTTGAATTAACTGTTATATGAATAAAATATAATGTGCACTGCAAATCAACTTTTGTTCAGTTTGTATCAATTCTTCAATACTTAATTAATAGACTGTTAGTTTTATTTACAATGTATAGGTACAATTACATGTACTTTTTAATGTATATGATTTTTAGAAAAGAAAAACTCAATATTCTCATAGTTACCAGGTCCCACGTCTATTACTTACAGGTTCCCATGTAATGCTAATAAGGATACATTCAATTCATGTAAACTATGTTTAGAATCTCTATGCACTCAAAAGTACTTTTGATATTATCTTCCTGGCATTCGCTCTGTCAACATTTTTTCAAAGGACTGTTTCTTTGCCAGCAGTATTATACTTACAATATTAACTGTAATCATAATTTGACATAAAATTGAGAGAAGCAAGATTTGTATGACAACTCACCAGTTGGAATGCTTTACTATCTTTAGGCACTTTGTGCTTCTCCATATACTTTGGTAAACAGCAGCTAGCATAACTGTTAGGAATACAAATAGAGGTGGAGAAAGAGAGCAAGGGAGAGAGAGAGAAAGGGAGAGAAAGGGAGAGAGAGAAAGGGAGAGAGAGAGAGAGAGAGAGAGAGAGAAGGGGGAGAGGGAGAGAGACAGAGAGAGACAGAGAGAGACAGAGAGAAAGGGGGAGAGAGAGAGAGAGAGAGAATGGAAGGACGAAATTTAAAGTTATGTGAAACCTCATTAATAGTAACATCCCTCATACCATATTAATTGTATACAAGCAAACAGAAGCACTACCTTGGCAAAAGGTTGAAATACAGTGTCACTTTGTCAGAGAAAAACATGGAAGGTACATTAATCAAAGAGACAGTCAATGAAGGTGTTTTGAGAATAATGTTTTGCCTCTGTGACTGTCCGGACTATGGACCCCCAAAATAGCAGAAGTCCAGAAGTCCTTAGAACTGTCAGACATCGTCCAGATACACCATGAATTGAAACGAAAATTTTGAGCGCTAGAAAAGAATTTGCATTTCCACATGGTCTTGAAATTAATTGCCAGATCTACAAGAAAGCTTCCCATCATTATAATAGTAAACTCACTTTGGCGAAGCGAACTAATCATTTTAATCAACTGAAAGACTGTTCTTCACGAGAGCTGTTCAGGAAGGTTGAACAAATACGGCGCCAATCATCTAAAACCCTTCCAACTAAACCTCCAGTTTAAACTCTTCTTCGGAGTATTTAGGAGGAAAAGAATCCAAGATCCAAGAACGGCCTTGAAATATCTCTGCCAGAGCGTTTCGTAAGGTATTTTGAAGAGAGAAAGTTCAGTCAATCACTGATGAACTACAGTCATCAGTGGCTGATATGCTTAGATCCATAATACTCACTTTGATCTCCTGAAGTCTTTCATAAGATTACCATGTTCAGGCATCTTCTTTATATCCTCCCAATCTTTCTCTGTGGAGGAGAAATAGACTCTACTTCAGAATCATTCATACTCAAGTGGATTAAGCATACTGTTATACAAAAGAATATATCCACAAGAAATAGTGATATTATCTGCAATTACTGTACTGATACACATACAATGTACAATCACAGTGCTAACCATTGCAGATGAATATGTCTACTCTTTAAGATGTGATAATAAAGGTGCAAATATTCAATTTCAATACACTACACTGACCTAGGTTTTGCCCTTTGACCCATTGGTTCAAGACTATATAATACGCTGTACCTTCAAATATATACAAGATGACACAAATAGACAGGTTCATAGCTAGATCAACCCTCTATTTAGTAACCTTAATTTTTATTTAATCTTTATTGATCTGGACTGGAAGTGAAATATGAAGTGAAATATCAGGGAATCTAGATTAAAAATGCCTTGATAAAGATCAATGGTTATAACAAATGGACAACAACATCTGATAACACACAAGAATTAAAAATTAAAAATTAAAAAAGAGATAAGGTGCATGAACATTACCCTGTGGGAAGCCCATGACATTGAATATCCTGTCTAGTTGATCATGATGGTAAGGATTGCTGGTTTTGATGTCTTCTTGACGGCAGTGGAAGATGGGTTCAGATGTGAGTAACTCTGCAAATATACAGCCTATAGCCCATATATCTGAGCAAACCAGGGAAAAAAAGCACAAACCCAATAATATACACCTTTTATTATAATAATAACTATAATCATTATCATAACCATCATCACATACAATTGAACAATAACTTGACTTCATTTTGGTTCTGTATCTGTTTGTTTTTTGTATTTATCTTGAACAAATATTGAAAATAAATTATTTTTTCACAGAGGCAAACAAATAGAAATCAAAAATATAAATATTACATATCAATGGAGCCCAAAAGAAAAGTTTTACAATGTATCAAAGAAATAAGCCTGAGTTCACATTCAATACTACTTTACTGAAAAACAGAACCAACTTTTTATTTTCTTCAATTTCCAGCTTGCCTTGAAAGTCAAACAGAACAACATATAAAGGCTGAATCAACTTGTTGCTTATCAGTGCAGAAAACATTATCTTTTCAATTTTCTCAATAAAAAACATGATTAGGGAACTCTCAGAAAAGATAGTCTAAATAAACTATGTATTATACAATACTGCATGCTCCAGCGTTCAATAAATACTGCCTCAGTGAAAAATAACATCACTAGGGAAATTTTGAACTGCACAACGAAATGCATGCAATATTTGTTATCTGAAAATTAAGGGTACTTGTGATCTCATGCCTTGCTTGGTAGCATTCAGTTTGCCTTTGTGTCAGATGCACGTAGCTAAGACAATGAAAACAAAAGGTACACACAGGTACGAGAGGTACAGACAGGTACGAGAGATACGCAGTCCAATTAATTTTGTACATGTTATACCGTGCCAAAAAGATTATTAAATTATTTTTTAGTGTCACATGACACTTTTTGGCCTACAGGATACTCACTTCATTTCAATTCACTAAACAATTATTTCCTTCACAAAAAACACAATGAAAATATCATGAAATATGTATTTACAAATATCCCATTTTAGAGCATGATTTAGATAACACATATTCAAAAGAGAACACCATCTATGACACTGTCGATACAATACAGGAAAAAGCACACATGGGATGGTTACCTATTGCTTTTGTGTAATGCCTAGCTCCTAGTAGTAGCTCTGGAGCTCTGTACCAGAAGGTCACAACCACTGGGTCAAGGTCAGCTAGAGGTTTGAGAGGCGAGTTGAATAACCTTGCAAAACCCATGTCAGCTGAAAAAGGAAGGAATGTTGTCAAATAATTATTTTTAGTCACTGACAAGAAACTTTTATGAATACAGGTAAGAAATGGATTAGGTGTAATAATAATGCAGCTCAATTGATAAAACAAAGCTTGAGTTATGGTGATAGGAGTACATTTTGAGAGAGACTGGCTTAAATGCGAGAGATTTGCTGTCCTGACAAGCAAATTATGAAAAGCAAAAACACTTTTGAAAAAAACCTTTTGGAATTCACATATCGGTACTTAGAATTGCACAATCGCACATATTGGGATACTACTGCATGTTTCAGTGTATGAACATGGTCAAAACTTAAAGTTAATTTCCTATTCATCTACATTTACTGTACTCAATTATTAGATGTTCCATTTATACGGGCATAGATTTTGGTATAATTAATATGACAATATATATTTGAGGTGTTGCAATTTTTCTTTCGCAAACAGCAAAATACTGTTTCAAACCTGGATTCTGATTGTTTTTAATCTGCTCATACCTATTTTGACTCTTCCTCTTTCTGAACCTTCTCCCATTACTAGAATATTGGCTGGTTTCTGTCAACAACAAAAAAAAACATTTTTAAAAATGATACACAACATTGAAAAAATAAGTACTCTGCTGAAGCAATACCTTTCAATGGGCATGTCAATTGACTAGCCAGTAATTAGGCGAGAGGAATAATAGTATACATGTTAAAATTGTCAGAGCACACTACAATTTCAATGATCTGATTTTCTTTTTTGTTTAAGTAGGCTTTACACAATGATGGTGTTCTACAATAACAGGTGACACCCCCCCCCCCCCCCCCCGACAAAAAAAAGATGGATTTGAAGAGCATAAACTTTCCAGCCTCTTCAAGTTTTGCTAGAACTATGAATGACTTCAACCTACTGGACACATTTTGATTTTACTTTAACACACATATCCCATCTATTGGGGTGCAAGCCAAAAATTTCTTTACAATAATAAAACAAATTCTCAGGAAGCGTAAGTAATATTCAAAGCTATTGTCCTAATGGCGGACTGATGAATATTAATAAGTCAGAACGAGTCAGTAGAGCTGAGGTATTCATTTCTATTTCATCGTAACTGTGCCATGGACCAGAGATGGCCTGGTGGTTAAGTGTCTGTCGGCAAGCAGTAGATGGTAGGTTCAAACCCTGCTGGCTTCACGATTTCTTCAGACTTGTTTTTATTAAAAGATCAGGCTTGCAATCTTTATATACTGGGTGCAAGCCACCAAACTTCTTCACAGCAAATATTTCATACTCTCCATCCAAAGTTACAATGTATATCAGGCTTGGTACTCGACAGGTCCATGATTTGACATACTTACAAGATCCCTGTGTAATACCCAGTTAGAGTGAAGATAATGGATTCCATCAAGGATTTGGTAGAGGAGAGACTTGACCATGACGGGAGGTACTGAAGTGGGACCCTTTTTGCTGGCTTTGTTTGCCCGATGATACTTGATTATATGCTACACCAAAGGAGAAGACGATTGAAGGAAAATGTAAGTAATATCAGTGTTGACAATCATCATCATTATCATTATAATGATAGCTCCTTTGTTCTACTTTTCATTACCATGTACTGTTAATGTTTTCATAGATGCTGTTATTATCATTGGTGTTATAATCATCATTATTACCATCATTATCATTATTATCATTATTGTATCATTATGGTTATTATTATGATTATCATCATCATCATCAGTAGAAGTAGTAGTAGTAGTGTTGTAATTTTATATTTTTATTGTTATTATTATCATAAATATCATAATTATCACCATTTTCATCATCATCTTCATCACCTTTATTACATCATTAACTATTATTGTTACTGTTACTATTGTGTCTATGTGTAAGGGTAACGGGTAAACCAGTCAGTGCATGAACTATTAAAGGCCCTGTTGAAAGACACATAAAAAACAAATATACCAATGGGAACAAACAAATCATTGATATATACATAAATTTAGTTGATACTGTATAAACACAAATTGTTTCTACGGTCAACGCATTGGCCAATGTGAAGAAGTAAAGGATCAGATGGTTGATGATTTTATACCCAAATATCGCAAATTATTCCACTCTACAGAGTGCCCATCTTACATATCTTCTCTTTGGTTTTGACATTGAATGCTGGACAAGTATTGCTAAATCTAACAGAGCTCACTTACCCATAGATCATGTTCTGAGAAGTCACAAAGCAGGTACACCTTTCTATCACTGTGAGAGAGGAAAACCCTTCTTAGACAGATCACGTTTGGATGACGTAATTCCCTGAGTAACTGCAAGGAGGGAAATAATCAAAGTAAATTTGTAGCATTATTATCCAGGATACCTTTGCATTGTGGTTTACCTGCACATCCCAATCCTGTTATACATACATTAAAGCAACTTTGCACTCTCGCAAATAATGCCTTCTGTTCATCCAAGTTGGGACACATTCCACACAAAAATGCTACCAAATGACTTGGGATCAAACACTCTTTCATAAGATGTATAATAATTTACTGTTCATAGATGATTTTTATAATAGTTAACAATTTTCTAGGTGTAACTTTTTTTTGACTCAGTGTATAGGGAGGAGATACCCAAGGGTCACAGTTCGCAAATCCCCTCCGAAGCACAGGTCACACCAAATACTTAATAATAATAATAATATTCAAGCAAGGCACAGGCAATTTGTGCTTAAATTGAAATTAAATCAGCAAATGATAAAACCTTATCAAATGAATTTGAATGAAAGACCAATTTTCACCCCATCCTCCTAAAATTATTTGTCTATAATTATTGATTCAGTTGTTCCATTTTCGCTGATTGGTCTTTTAAAATTATTGCTGATGTCTATTCTCAGTAATTTGTCCCTATAGATCCCCTACATACGGTTTCAGTACTCATACTTCAATAATGAAAACAATATCTAATTACTCACAGCTACTTCTCTACATGCAGACATGGATATCCCTGTGCCTTCTATCTGCTTCAGCGCATACTCCTTCTTAGGCTCTTTCTTGGTTGTGGCCTTGTAGACATGTCCGTACGTCCCCCTGCCGACCTTGCATCCCTCAAAGTCAAACAGGTCTTCCACCGACTCACGCACCCCGGAAGTCTGCTGCTTGAACTCGTAGTCCATCTTTGCTGTTTACCTGAACAGCAAAGAAAAATTATAATTATTACTAGGTATTTGGCATCACCTGCGCCTAACAGTAACAAGTTTTAAATCGCCCGGTTTTTTCACATTACAAAATGATGGTGGGGTGCGGGCACGCACGTGTGTTAGCGACTGTAATCTACGCAATTCATTAATAAGGTCGCTAACTTAACACACGCGCACGCCTGCACCCCACCGTTGGTATGGTATGCCAGCAGTTTGCCGTGAATCCTGTGAGAAAGTGTATATAGTCTAATAAGTCTTTGTTTTTAAGAAAAATACTCCAAAAAAGAAAAGATAATTGACACGAAACAGGTAGATCTAGATCTCAGAAACATATGAATTTTAAATCATGACCATTATTTGAACAATTGATGAAGATTTAGGCCTAGGCCCTAGTCGATTTTTAGTATGTTTGGCCGTATATTTCAGTAGGGTATCTCCACGCAGGAGTTCCGGGTCAAAGTCTGGATAGACTTCTGACCTAGCGCCGGCGTTTGGTCCAAAATCACGCACAGCTCAGCTCAGCAGCTCAAGCGCCAGCGTCGGCCACAGTACACTAGCACAGACAAGGCCCGATGGCCATGCATAGGCTTGGAGCTCAGCGGGTAGATATGGACCGAAGCGCCGAGGCAAACACCATTCCGCCCGCACAACGTACACACACACAGACCGCCATAACCGAGTGCGCAAAACATTAAAACAAACATCCTTTTTTCAGTTTTTTATCTATTTGTCTGGTTTCATAAGATTATATTTATACATACTCTGAGTCAGAGGGTCTTCTTTTTCTTTGACGTGGTCCTTTTGTCGGTTTTTCTCTGTGTTTTTGTGTGATGTAAAGCAAAGGAATCAACATCCGCAGGGTAGCACAGCTGTCTTTCAATGCATCAGTGCGATGAATGAAATCGAGACTAGTCTCTAGTCTTGATTCGATTATCTAGGATCACTTTCCTACGAATTCTGTCAATAATTATGTTGGGGCTAATTTTGAGAAAAACAATACAATTATATGACTTATTAAATATTTGGCATCCATTTTGACCAGATGAGAATTGCAATAATCAATATTGCACTACATAAATGTTAAAAGAACTGAAATAAACCACATTTTTCAGTTTAAAATGCTTTTTCTCTACATAATATAGTTCCATGACTATTTGGAGCAGCAAAGCTAGTTAGGGCACTTTGGATTTTTAGGGGAATATTTTCTACCGCTTTCCCGGTGGCCGATTTTGTCAGTTCCCTATATTTTTGTAATGAAGGGACTACACTACACTATTTTGACACGTGCCTCGATCCTTTCCCCTTTTATTTTTTACACGTGCCCCTTATCCTTTCTAACTTTAGTGCCATTTTCCTTCTGATAATATCCCATTTCCCTTTGTAAAAAGGGCCCCTTTTTCGTTGTCATAAGTGTCTTTTTCCATCTCTGGCGAGAGCCCCTATTAAGTACGAGGAGTGCCCCATTTTAACCTCTGGTAATTGCCCTTTTTACTTTGCATGTTCTCTTTTTCTTTTCTAATAAGTGTCCTTTTCCCTTTGGAAATGTGCCCCCTTTTCCTTTCCCCATAAAATGTGCTCCTACTTTTTTAAAGCGATTAACAACAATTTTTCTTGAATTTCACCATTAGCTGGCTCGCTATGCTCGCTCGCATTGAGTTGATATAATTATGTTTTTTATGAAAAGTCTTTTCAGTCTTTCATCGGGATTGCCTTTTCCTCTTTAAAGCATGCATTGTTTTGTACTGCGACCTTACAAATCTCAAAGTACCATCACACCCAACTGCAAAGTACATGCATGTATGATGCTTATTAAGCAGTATCTTGGACCATGTAAAAAGAGAAACGAACATTGTAATCATCCCTGATAATGTAATAAAAATGTAGGGGTATATACCAATGTATAAAAATTGTATTTTTTCGGTTTGAGGTCTCCCTTTAAAGGTGCCCCTATTTCCCAGAAAGTGCCCTTTTTTGTTGGTGCCCCCCCCCCCTTCTTTGAAAGACGCTCCGCCACCACTGGACTGCTGAAACCGCTTTATCTGATCATAAACACTTTAGCCCCGCCCCCGCTCCCCCTCCCCTCCCTTACTTTGAAAAAACGTAGCGCAGGCCCTGCATAGGCATTTTATCCAATCATGAATAAACGATTCGGTTGTTTGCAATGAGCACACTAATTTTCACTGACAACTTTCCATTTTACATAGGTTTTATCTGAATGGTAAAAAACTATGGAGTGCTTTAAAACTGAATTGTTTCACTTTATTGTTTTTAATACTTTGAACGTAATATCTTTGTCCAGTCAAAGGCGATAGGAAGGTTAAATTGTTTTTCCTAATGTCCTTATACAATAATATTGGAATACTTTTCTTGAATTCACACAATAAACTATAATAATATTTTGACTTCATTGTTGACAATCTAATAGCATCACTAAACATCATTTATTTGATTATTATATTTACATTATTGTATACTTTTTTTGTCAATGTAAAGTGAATGTTCATGAATTATGTATTTAAATCCTCGTAATGGTCTTTCTGTTGCTTATTGCATTTATAATCATTCAATAAATCCTTCCAGTGTTTTAATGTTGTTAAATTGTGGAATTTTCTAATAAAGTACCAATGAAAAGGGAAATATTAGAAAGAATAATCTAAAACAAAGATGAGAATTTCTTTAGTGCTTAATTGTAAATATAAGTCTTATGTAGCGCCTTTCATTTCTAAGATCAAAAGATCTTAACATCGTTCTCATATGTTTGTTGACATTTAAAAAAAAACTACACGCTTTTGTTCTGAATCAACTCTGAGATATTCGACTTTGACCTATTGATTACCAATTTCAATGTCATTTCTCAAGTCTAAACTTTTATCGTAACCTTTTTAATCATAAATGATCATCATCATGATCATAACCAATGGTGTATCTAAAATTGAGAGTCGGGAGTCCCGTTTTTAGTTTTTCATATTTTATTGATCATTTTCATTTCAAATGAAACATCACTTTCAGTGGCGGATGATCCAGGGGACGGCCTTGTTGAAAGGTCCTAAATTGTTAAAAACTTAAAAGTGTCCGGGGGGGGGGGTTCCGCCCCTGGATCACCGACAACCCAACAGTGGCCATAATTAATGGCGGGCACTGGACCTAAATCGTAAAGAAAGAAGTAGTTCACCTGCACCTATCCAAGACGAATTTTTATTTTTAAAATCCTTATGAGACAGATATTGGCGTACGCAGGATTTTTTTCAAGGGGGGGGGGGTGGTTAAAATCGGGCCAAAAATTTCGCAACGACTCAGCCAGCCGCTGAACAAGCGGGGGGGGGGGGGGGGGGTAAGAGGACACTTTTTTCTTCTTTTTTTTTGGTCCCAAAAAATCGCAACGACTCAGCCAGCCGCTAAATAAGCGGGGGGGGGGGGGGGGGGGGGGGGGGGGGGGGGGGGGGGGGGGGGGGAGGGGTAAGAGGACATCTTTTTTTTTGGTCTCGAAATTTGAAAATTTGACATTTTGTTCCGTTGGGGGGGGTAAGGTCACCTTTTGGGGTCAGCTATTGGCATAATTATTATTATTTTTTTTTATTAATTTTTTTTTTTTAATTTTTAAAAAATTGAAAGGGGGGGGGGGGGGTTCCCAAAAAACATACATAAAACATACACATAAAAAACTCAAGGGGGGGTTTAACCCCAACCCCCCCCCCCCACCATGCGTACGCGCCTGTATATATATATATATATATAGTGTGTTTTTTGTGTGTTTTGTGTGTGTGAGAGAGAACTGGTTTCCAAAGAAATAAGCAATAGGGGCATAGCAAATTCACAAGGCGCAGATTAAATACAGTTTATATCAATCAAGATATCCAAGACAACCCTTTATTGTATACAGTTGTCTGTGTGCCTATCTTGACCCGACTCCGACAGGGCCCTGTACCAAATGGGCCCTCATAAGAAGTGGGAATTTGGACCCCACCCGAGAGAAGGGGAGGGGCGCTTCGCTCATACGGTTTACTTCCGAATATAATGAATAATGTAATTTATTTGCCTCCCTGGAAAAGGCCTCAACAGTAATCATTGGGGTTGATCGTATTGGTTTAAAGGATAACTTTTGATGCAGAAAACAAAAATCGCAGGCAACATAATTATAGACCTTACGCTATATAGGAAAAAGGGCGGGTACTGATCTAACAGTGCGTATATAATTTTATAAAAAGTATACCCAACTTTGATAGCTTATGATTTAAAAGTAATAATCAATGCGACCTTGGAATCTATTGTTGCGGGAAACAGGTTTTGGGGTTTTATGTGAGATTATGTTTGGGCCCGTTGTGTTGGGGTAGAATCACAGGGGCGCAGGGGCGAACATGGGAATTGCATCTTATCTCATTACCCCGTTCTCATGTCCTCGCTCTCACACACTCCCTCTCTTCTTTTCTTGGTAGCGAGCGGTCCGTTAGCAACAGGGGGTTGGAGATTGGCGAATCGTATACGAATAATATTTTAGTAACTCCACAAAAAAGATACCAATTGAAGGCATGGTTTGCGGTGGATTTTTATTGGAGCTCTAAAGCTTCCTTTTTATTGTGTATTGACTCGACTGTTAGTGTTACATCCATCGTTTTATATCGTTTTATACTCTACTCGTATCAATGTATACACAATTTTATATATATATACAATCAGGCGCGTACGCAGGATATTTTCAAGGGGGGGGGGGGGGTTTAACATTTATAAATCGGGCCGAAAATTTCGCAACGACTCAGCAAGCCGCTGAGTAAGCGGGGGGGGGGGGTCTCGAAATTTGAAAAATTGACATTTGCCTCCGTTGGGGGGGGGGGGTAAGGTCACCTTTTTGGGTCAGCCATGGGAATGATTTTTTTTTTTTTTTTATTATTAAAAAAAAAAAAAAAAAAAGAATCCAAAGGGGGGGGTTTAGGGGGGTGATGGGGGGGGGGGGTTACACACACAAAAAATACCAAACGGGGGGTTTAACCCCCCCCCCCCCCCTGTGTACGCGCCTGCATACAATACAAGGAGAACTAGAGTAAGCACATGACATCCAATGTTTCGGACTATTATATCTGACCCTAGCCTTGACCAAAAACACCACATAACTGTATCTACTTTGTCCAGTCCATCGCTTACACAACAGTATTCAATTCATTTGTGTTGGGAGCAGGCCCGCCCCCCCGCCCCCCCCCCCCACTCAGTGTTATTCAGGGTACGCGTATGCTTGTTCCCTCTTTTTGAAAGCACCCCCTATCTGAGGACTGCCAACATTTCCGAACCCCCCTTTCGCGGGCTTTTCGCGGGCTTTTCCTGCCTTGGAGACCCCCCTAAATACGGAAAAATGCTCAATGTACCGCTCTAAATTCGGAATAATTTCTCAGGAGTCCAAAAAGATGAGAGAAAAAAAGAAAGAAAAAAAACCTTTTAAAGAAATCTCCGAGTGAAAGTATGAAAGTCAAATACACCCCTTTTTATTACAATTCTCGGGCCGGACTTTGTCGCACGAAAAGTACCCCTTTACCGGACATTTTGGTAACACGCATGGGGTCATTCCGACCCCGGAGTGGGGGCCGGGGCATCGCCCAACGATTTTTCGAGAAGTCGAGCAGGCTGTTGAGCCCCATACAGCGATGCCTGGGCGGTGCCCTGTCGATTTCCCGTCGATATTAGGTCAAAACTGGGCGAAATCGGGGAGCTTCTCCGGGCGGCGTCCAGGCAGGGACCGACTGATGACCAACCGATTCCCGACCGATTGCCCGGCGGTTGGCCGGTGATCGGTGGGGCAAAAAATTACGCTCACTGCCCGGGGGTCGCCGCCCGGTCACCGACCTAATCGAGCTTTAGCCGTCGAGCGACATAGGTCAAAAATAGAAGCTGCGAGGTCAA